CTGAGAATACGAGGCATGTTTTCAGAAAATGTGTGTAAACAATCCAGAAAAACTGTAAGCGTAATCACAAATCTACATGCGATATTACAACAAAAACGATAATGCTTTTGTTTTGAACCATTAGTAGTTGCACCGTTGTGAAGGCCGTTTGTTTCAGTATGTTCAACTGGTTTGCTGATGTCATTTGTTCTTGTCAGAACCATTGTGGACCCTGTTATTGTCAGCTGTTCTCACTGAAGCACCAGCAACATCTCTGCTATAATTGGCGTGGAGAGAGCACGTAAGGACTATGAATTTATAATGAGGATGTTTTCTGTTCTCATAAACAGGAGAGTGGAGATATAATGAAGAGGAGGAGGGAAGAGGGAGGGAAACGGAAAGAAGCCTGAAAAGACGGTATAAGAACTGAAGGGTTTTTGACAACGCTGGCAGAGTGGAGGCTCAAAATTGGAATGTGTGTGTGCTATTTGTGTGTTCGGTTTTAAAGATGTGTGTGAGGCATGTGCTGTTTTCATGAAGGAGTCATCGTTCTCTGGAGGCTTGAGTGCGTTATTTTGCCGTGTTAATGCATTCATGCATGTCTGCGCCATGGCATCAATTTTATGGTACGAGAACACATGAGGATGTATGTGTGCGTTTGGAGGATGTTTTTGAGGTGAGAAAAAGAAGACGAAAACAAACAATGGCATTTAAAACTCATTATTGAATTTTTTTAAATAACTCAAAAACAAGCATGAAGACATCTATTCCTCAGTCTGTGCTGAGCAACAGCTTCTTTTCTCCTAAACAGAGTTTCAGTGGAAACAGAATAAAGGGGGAGCCAAGAAAAGAAAGAAAAGAAAGGATGAAGTCAGAAGGAAAAGGACAGAGAACACCAATTTTGTTCTTTCAATAGACACTGGACAAAAAGCACACTTCCTTTTATCTGTCACTGACTCAAGAACTATTAGCTTAATTACATGGAGGAACTGAGACTGAAGAGACATTGTGTATGTGACCCTCTATTTGTGTTTGAGAGAAAGAGAGAGACAGTGAGATTTGTACTTGGCTTAAAATTAACCACGACAGAAAGATGGAGAGATTTAATTAGATGAATCTCCCACTTCAACGTTAATACTTTGAGTGTGTACTTGAGCATTACAAGGCCATAAATGACCTTGCATGGTCGCACTGGCTGCACAAACCAGTTCCTCACAGGGTATACCATCAGTTTGAATGTTGTGAATCCTGTATTGGGGTATTATTCTAGACAGGCATGTAACATGCTCTCTGATGAACTGATACGTCTACGTCAGGTGTAAACGTAGACCCTGGAGAAAAAAAAGAAGGATATGGACAAACCTATCGTTACTCTGTCCAAATTGGAAAGAAAAGTTTGGGGTGTGTCCATGATGGCAGTGGGGATCCTCAGCCACAAACTGTACAACAATCATCCTGTCCATTCAGAAGCAGTATTCAGGTTTTAAATCACAGGTTTGAAAACACAGTTGGAATCACCACGGTCTTTACTAAGACACAATGGCCAAACTTCGTTACCTAAATGAGACGTCAAAACTTTGCATATCCCTGCAGAACACGTTTGATTCTACTGAATCACTGTTATTGCCCTTTTAGACATTCATCAAAGCTCTTTGTTAACTTGAGTATGTAAAAGCTCTGTTTGACCAAGACAAGGCAAACTAATCATCAAATTGGAAAAGTTGACTTCCAAGATACAATTGATCAGGTGAATCAGATTTATCAACAAGAATTTGGCAGAAATTGATTGTTGATCTGCCTTATGGTGTCATTGAATTAGTGTAAGCGTGATTTATCGGGAGAAAAATGACAAAAAGGTATTATTTATTTATTTATTTAAAAGTTGAATCCAGGCAGTGTCCCCCTGAGGAAGAAAAACAAGCATGTGTGTGTGCCTGTGTGTGGCGATGGTGGTGGTGGTGGTGGGGGGTGGGTGGTGGGGGGGTGCAGGAAGGAATGATGCGAAACAGTCACATGCACAACTGACTGTCAAGGAATAACTCCCCGCTGCCTCTCTCTCTTCCTCTTGACTCCCTCCATCCCCCTCCTCCTCCAGCGTGCCACTCTCCTCTCTCCCCTCTGCTCCTCATTTTTATCTCAACTTGAACTATCCACGCATTCAATTTTTAATGATACACGCAGCACTCGCTCAGCCACTCTGCTCCGTCTCCTTTTGCTCTCTGCTCCCCTCTTCACCACCTGTTAGTCCTCCTACCGTCTTCGCTCTGGAATTCCCTGTTTTTTATGAGGAGTTTCACTTTTGTTCTATCGCTGAGGTAAGGCAAATTTTTATACACCATTTTTCTACGCACACAGGGTGATCTGGTGGAGATGCCGCAGGGAAAAAATCTTTATATTACACGTTCTTGTATTTTTCATGTTTTTGGTGCAGTCATGGTGTTCTGACTTTCCCTGTTTGGTGTGGCAATTGTGTCTTTTGTTGTGCATGAGAGAACACAAACCAGACAAAGAAGCAGACGCAAATTCTGCACCAGTCTCCCCCAGCAGACAGGTGCAACATGTGCCATGTGTCCATTTTAGTATCTTTTCCCAGCTTTTTCACTTTTGTTTGAGATCAAGCAACACCCTCACATACAGTGAAGTTTACTCATCCCTGCTGGCTGAAAATATCTTGCCCTAATTGACAAACCATCGCCATCAGTGTGCTGAGCCATAAATGATGCTCCGTATTAAGGTCTAATGAGTAGCTACACTGTGCAGCACTGTACTGTACCATCTGCCTGTCATCCAGCAGCTTGTTATTTAAAGGTGAATGGAGCTCGCCGCAGGGGCCCATTGTATGTAGGACACAAGTGGAGAAGACGAAGAACCAGCTGAGAAAGAAAGAAAATTCCACATGGCTACAGGTGGAATTTTTTTTTTTTTTAACATGTTAAAAAAAGAGAGGGGTTGATGAAGATATATTTAAAGAGGAATAAGATGTAGTCAAACAGATCAAAATTTTGACAGTGTAGGTGGAGAAGAAGATGGGAAGGTAGAGGCTGAGGAAGAGAGTGTCCATGCCTGTCATATGACTCTAATTTAAAGTGAAGGAGCTAAAAGAGGAAGAGGGGAGGTTGCATATAGCAGAGAGATACGTTTCTCTTTACCCAGGCTTGAAGCCTATGTGCAAGCATAAATTATAGTGCAAAAGGCTATGATTGTAGTCGTAGTTCATGTCTGCAGGACCCAAACTATCACAGCGGCATCTAAGATTTATGCAAAAGTTGTTTGGTCTTTGGCTCCAGATCTTTGAGGCGGGCGCTTACAAGCTCTTCCGTGTAAAAAACCTCCCACGTGTGAGCGTGAAATCTACAGTTGTAATTTCGTCCGCACGGCCACTTCCCAGAAACAAGAGGATGATGAAAAAGAGGAGATGTGAGAGATTCCAGCTGGCAGCTTGAGAGCGATCAATCAAAGCTCCCCGTGAAGCTTCTGCTTTCCAAAGAGCTGGTAGCCCCCCGGCCATCGCAGTTGTCCGTGTCCTGCACCCGCTGCTGCTGGTGCTCAAGCTGCCACAGCTCACGGACACATCTGCCAGTACTGGAAGGCAAATGACGGCACACATTATGTCAACAGTCACTCGCTCACAAGAGCTGCATCATGCGTGAGAATATGAAGACCCCTGAAAGAAACCCCTGCAAACAGGGGTTTATGTTTCTCATCAGGACCATTGTTATGACCAGCTCATTAGCATGTATTCATCTTTAAATCAGTCAGGGAAGTGGTCATTTGCATCTTCATAAGAAGCCTCATTAACTTGTCTTCACCTTCACCTAAATTACTTTTTCAGATTCGCTCTCATATAAAGAAAAACTGAACTGATACACTTGAACTGTAATGACCACTGCTTCGTCGTCTCCACACATTATTCACCACAGATTAATTGAGCTTTAATGAGAGAGAGAGAAGGAGAGAGGAAGAGAGAGAGAGAGAGAGAGAGAGAGAGGGGGAGAGAGAGAAGGAGAGTAGCAGAACTTGACTTGTGTAAATCATTAATTGTGTTGCTCTGAAACCAAAATGATTCCATCTAAATCTGAAAAGGCAAGATCTCGGTCGCAGTCGTCCATTCGTCAGCTGAAGGTCTGAAGTCCTTTCAGTTGTGTGAGTTACAGAAGTGTTGGTGCAGACACACTGCAGCATGATCCAGACGTTTGTTTCATCTCCGGCCAAGTGAAAGCTGGGGAGAATCCCACGCACTGTTGTGCCTCCAACACAGCCACTGGACCACGCATGATGACGGCTGACCCCCACAGCGTGTAATCCTGCTGAAGGTCAGCAGTCAGGGGCCAGATTCTGCCAGGGCATCGCAGGTCATATTAACTTCATCCTGACAAATGAAGGCTCTGAAATAAATCTGTTTACTTGTTTTGGTCCCTGAGAGGAAATGGAATGGAAAATGCAAACACAGCAAATAGAGGTGTGAAGGATCTGGAATGAACAGACTAAAGATATTGTTACATATGTTCTTTTTCCTGAGGATAACCGTTTGAGAAGACACATTTTTTTGTCATCTTCTCTTCACACTTGATATCAAGCCAAAGATTTCGGCTGGATATAAAACAAGGTTGTGATTTTATGTGCGGGGAACATTTCTTGGATGGGCGTAACAATCTTGTTCAGAAAATGTTTTTCTCATAAAAGCATTGGCAAGGTGTCAAAGAGCTCTTTAATCCAGCCGCTACGAAGCGTGCAGCACATTACTATACAAATGCAACACTCAGCTACAGCGTTCACAGTGAGATTCAGTCTTTGCTGTGGTAATTTCTGTCTTATAAACACAACGCCAGTACTGAGAGTCCCTGCTTTGAACTGATTTAAGCTGCTTTCCTTTTTTTTTTTCTTCTCTGAGCAGTTTCATACATGCTCTTTACATCAGAATTGCCTAAAAAAGGGAGCACTGACGGCCAGAAAAAGAAAGCCTCCCTATGGGGTCAGTTGGCTTAATCCAATGAGCTTTAGATCTGCAGGTTGGCAGATTCGGTTGCCTCTACGTATGGCTGGTTAGCTACTTGCTGGTTTAAACCCAGCCTCATTTAGCGTTGCAGCATAAGCTCTCTAGGCTTTTTATAGGTTACATGACAATTCATTCCCACATCTTGAAGTCATATTTTAACTTTTTTTAACTATCTATGTTTGTACAAATAATTATGCAGGTTTGAGAGGATCCACTCATCATCCAAACCCCCAATTGCTGAGATTCATTAATGTTTTATGTTTGCAGGACTTAATTAAAACCCATTTAAGCTACCGGAACAGTTAAAAGTACCTTAAACCTCTCAGTGTGAGATTTCTGGATCTCTACTTTTTTTCACACTTCACAGAACACCACTCACAGAAAAAAGCAAGTGCAAATATTAACGTCTGGGTTTCGATCAATAGATGCAAACAGAGCAGAATCTAGTCCAAGGTGGGTTTTGTTCAGTATTAAGGACAGGCCGCCCCCTCAGGCCCTGCTGCCTTTAGAAAAGGAAAGCTGGGAGACATTTGTAATCCACCCACCTCTTTTTTATTTTCGGGTAAGAGCAGACACACCAGCCTTGTGATCAAAACGACACCATGCAACCACAACTTTATGTAACCAGCTGGACTCTTTCCAGAGGACCAGAGAACGTCTCCGGCAGCAAAAACTTCCTCTTTTAAAATACCTATCTGCCTTTGCAGAATTATTCTGCATCTTAGCGCGGCCTCAATCGCCTTCAAACACACAAACACACACCGACGTTTCATTGAGGATAATTTGAATACAGATAAAACCATTTTTGTACTGTTATCTTTTACCTTATTGATATGGGTTATTACGATGGGTGCATATCCTGTGTTGTATTTTGTCGAATGAGAAACCAGCATCCTGACTTTCTTTGTCTTCACTTTTTTTTATCCAACTATTTCACTGACAAGAGACAGGATGACATTGCTGGGTGCCAGTGGCTCGCCTCTTGTTTTGGCTGAGTGTATTTCAGCATTTGATCTGGTGCACAGCTGAAAACAAATGTCATTTACGCTGTAAATATTTTCATTCCCAGCCCCATGACGGTGAGAAAAGGAAATCGTTTAGGCATCTCCATACAGGAGCACATGGCCATCAACGTCTGTCCAGGGCCCATCCGGCCCATTCGCCAAATCTCCGCCTACTTCCCTCGCCTCTCGCCCACTTCCTCATTCTCTGAGCCACTCTCGCCCAATCAGCTGTCAGCCCCGGCTTCGCTCAGCCCCGGCGGCACAGGTCAAGGTGGAGGTGGAGACGGACCCAGCAGCGGGCTTTTGTCTCCGCTGTTACCAGGAGCTGCGGGGGGAGGGGGGTCACTGTCAGCCATGAGCAGCATGGACACCTCCATTGAGATCGACAGCTGTGACAGTGATGATAACAGTGAGTCACCTCAAAGCAATGATCAGATTTCACTGAGGATACAAAAGAAATTGAATTCAGATCAGGTCAGAACATATCTGGATATATTCAAACTGACAATGTTCTTGTTAAAACCAATTCCTCTGGGAAGTTTGGTCACCATATTGGGAAACAGGTAATATTACAGATAGGGAAACGTTTCAGATGACAGCCACTTCCTGCAGAATATTTCAGCTGTCGCAAACATAAGACAGTTAGAATGTATTTAAACTGATTTAATTTAAGAGAACTGTGTCAAACAACTGTTTGCCATTATGGTCATTTTAACTGTTTAAGATGTGAATGTAGATAACATCAAATCAATATATTTGTTTGCGGACAGATGGAGAAAAGGAGAGAGCAAATTATTTAAACTGCTCCATTAAATGAACTAAATGTATCTGTGTATTTCCTGGTCTGTGGTGATTCCTCACCTCTTCATCATTACAAAAAGCAATTACATGTTTGACATTGTTTTTTGCTTTTATTCTTTCTTCCAGCCTCCTTGGGAACGCTGGAGTTTGACTTATTGTATGACAGAGCCACCAGCTCCTTACACTGCACAGTCCTCAAAGCAAAGGTAAATAGTGTCCTCAAATACTCCACTAATACAGTTTGTTTTGTACACTGTGAGAATATGGCTGTACAGACACGTTCAGGACAGAGCTGTCACGTTTTTAGGAAATGAGAAATCAAATGCAAAGACACTACATTTGATTGTAAACAATGAAATCTGTTTCCGGGATATCATTTGTCAAAACTCCTCTCTCCCTGGTAAGTTATGTATTCCCCTGTTTCACACATCAGTATTCTGTTATCATACTTGACGAGGAATGATAACTAATATACTAGGTATGTGTGGTAATGTGGGTCAAATGTGACCCATCTGATGTTTAAATATTCCATGAAAAGATATGACATGTGCTTGTCTTTGATAACTGCATAATCACAACCCAAAATTCTTTTGATCTTTGGATAAAAAGCAGTCCTGTTGGACATGCTTTTTAAATTTCACATCATGAAGTCAGAACACTCCTCAGAACCCACTAGATAAAAGAACACTTTAGTAGGAGGTTGAATACACTAACTTCACATGAATTTAATATTCTCACTAGATAAAAAATTGACCCTAATTACCATGACCTACTGTTCACTGAAACTATGAATGTCAAATTGAATCCTCCCACCTCCTTCACTCCTCTTAGTTTCAGATTAAATTTGAAATTAATCTCTCACTTCGCAGTCTGGTGGATGTTTAAGAATCCGTTTCTGGTGTTGGAAGTGTGCACAGTGTCTCCCACCGTTCATTTTCTACTCTTCATATCTTATTTCTTCTCTTAAAGGGTTTGAAGCCAATGGATTTCAACGGTTTGGCTGATCCCTATGTCAAGCTGCACCTGCTGCCGGGGGCCTGCAAGGTTTGGTTATATTTGACAGTTTTGAGAGAAACCCTGTGTTACCAGTCATCAAGATTTTTTTAGTTGACTTATCAGTCAAGTTCTCATTCTAGAGGTATGTAGCAAATATGCACATACAGATGAAGGAATTAGCTGTAAGTCTCATCGACCTTGGATCCAGAAAAAGCTTTGGTAGTTCCCCTGCTGTGGTTGTTTACTGCTTACTGTTTGGACCCCTGGCAACAAATACTAGAGATATTTTCTTCTTTTTTCTGTTGTAATCCACAGGCCAATAAACTGAAAACCAAGACAGTTCGAAACACACTGAATCCTGTGTGGAACGAGACTCTCACCTACTGTGGAATCACTGAGGAGGACATGTACCGCAAAACTCTCCGGTAAATGTTTGCAGAAGAGGGGCTATTTCTGTCCACTTCATGTTCACCCCATCTGTTTTGGCTCATTCATTTGAGATCGGACTTGTGCTTACAAAGGATTTCTTATCATCTCTCTCTATCAAGGAGTCTTTTGCTCTCAGTTAAAATGACTTTTTCAGGGCCTCTATGTCCCCTTTCTTCTTCTGTCTGCACTGATCCTCAGATCCTCCCGTGTCACCTCATCGTCTTTCCTCCCAATCCTCATATCTCTCCTGTCCACAAGGATTAGTAAAAATCCTTCGTTACTCCGTCACCATTCCTTTCTCTTTGTCTTTCTTTCCATCTGCCTTCTTGCTTTCTCCCCTGCCAAGTTGCAGTGACAGATTGAGGTCAGACTAAGCACTGTGGGGTATTTTAATTTCATTGACCCCCCTCCGGAGGTGACGAAAGCTGTGAATTGTCTCTGCCTGTGACTAAAACTTTGCCGTGGCACCTGTAGGATTGGGATTTAAATAGGATTGATGACTGATTTCTTGGGGCAGATTAGAGAAACTGACCCTTCCGTCAACCCATGACACACAGTTAATTCAGCAGAAGCATGTGAAAATCATGAGACTGTAAGTTTAGGTTAAGGGAACCAGTTGACATCACTCTGTGCAATGGCTGATGTTGTCTGGTACGACATTTACCTCTGAGACCTTTTCATTTAACATAAATCATCTTGATGCGCATGGACGGATGCAAGGTTTCCCTGGGTCAGGAGGACTGAGCCTCAAAGATAAACCTATATGACATTGCATTGTTGCGTTTGTGTTTTCCTGAGCAGAAATATTTTTTAAAACAATGTGGATTGTAATCTGACAGGGTTTTGGGATTGCAAAAAGATTGCAGAATAAGCTTCCCTTCTGGAACAGTGTCCTTTAGATCAAGACAAAGTTTAAATGTTTAGTCTTGATGTGTTTCAGCTGTTTGGAGGAAAACCAAACACACAGATCAGCAGAAAAATATTCAAACTTATTCCCCAGCATGATTATGGCAGGATGGTGATTTGGGCTTTTTGCAGCCACAGAACCTGAACAGAACTTTGACCTTGTACTCAGATTTTTTTGAGTCAATGGTTCTGAATCTGAGTTCAAAATCTGAATCTCAGATTCAGATTGTTACAAGAACAGTTTTCATTTGTCTGACAACTAAAGATATTCAACACACAAATGGTTCTACCATAAAAATGTATAAGTAATCTTAACATGCCAGATTTTAAGCTGTACACTGAACCACAATAAATGATAAAACAAAGTAAAAATGACTACAAACTGTTTCCACATCTTAACAAAACGCCAATGCAATAGGACCTCTTGCACATACACTTAAGATGAACGATATATGGTTGGAATGGACTCCTGAAGTGTGCAGAATGCCAGCAGATATCTTATTCACAAGCATGACATGGACTTTTAAGTACACGACATCATGAATCATCTGCATATCACCTTGCTCTGTTGACATTAGTAAATCAGGCTGTAGGAAATGGGAGCAGAGAGACAGTGAAATGTTCGCATTACTTTATGCTGTATTTATGCAACCTTTGCTTGCTTCCTCACATTTGACTCCTTGACCTCACATACTTCCCCTCACTCCTCCATCCTCTAGCTCTTTCCATCACAGCTGTGCCTTTCTCCTCCCCCTTTCACCTCTTCGCTCTGGATGACTTGGTCTCCCTGTTCTTCCTGCTGTCATCTTCCTTCTCTTCAAACCTTAGTTGTTTTTCTTTATTTTTTTTCCTCCTTTTTGATATTCCACGGTTTTAGTAAATGAATGCAAACTTCCTCTGGGGATTTCCGCTCACGCCTGGTGGCCTCAGGCTACCAGGCTGCTGCGCCTTCAATGTACCAGCTATGTTGGGTTTTATTGCTGGAAACGTAGAGCAGCAGGTGACTGCGACAATTCATTCCTGTGGTTATGAATTTCATATGGGCTCGAATAAAGCCTTGTATTCTGCCCAAGACGCAGCTCAGTCCTGTCAAGGCTTTTCAGATGGCAGATCGCTTTCTTTTAAATTTACATGAAGCGCAGGCAAAAACAAAGCTTGTTGGATTTCTCCAAGGCCTGGAGCATATGATTTGTGTGCATAATTAAATAAATTATTCTGTTTTTAACCTCTCCTTCTCACCCACGTCACTCTATTCTCGCATTGCCTCTTTAGATTTCACATCCAAAGCCTTCCCCCATCTCTTCCACTCCTCTGTGTTTCTCTCACCCACAAGTGCATTTCATCTGACATCTATGCAGGTGTAAGAGTTTGCCAGCCCATAAACATAGATTGACTTAACCTTGCATGATGCTCTTTCACACGTGAATTCCTACTGGAGGACAAATTGTAATTAGATGTACTATGCACTACGCTTGAGTCAGAGGGGTCTCTGACCATGCTTCCTCATTCAGGTCAAGTTTGTGTAAATTAATTCCTTCCTAAATTATAATTCTGCCAGAACATTAGATGCGTGATGAAATGTTTTTTGACAACCACACTCCCACACACATGCCCAAAAAGCACCAGATCCCTGCCTCTTTTCAATCCTCCATCTCTGTGACATTAATCAGCTTCTCTTATCTTCCATTCATGCATTTTTCACTAGTTGTAACTTTTCATTTCCCCCCGTCTGCTCTGTGTGTGCCTCCCAGGGTGTCTGTGTGTGACGAAGACAAGCTGACACATAATGAGTTCATCGGGGAATCGAGGGTGGCCCTGCGCCGTGTGAAGCCTGACCAGACCAAACACTTTAACATCTGTCTGGAGCATCCACCTCCTGTGAGTAGAACAGGCACGGGGAGAATAAACGAAGCCTGAAATACTACTAATGTGCAAAGTAATAAATGAAAATGGGAATGGAATAAGTGTGAGTCCAGGACAGGTTAGAACTGAGTATGCCAATGCTTTCTGTATGACTGAAAAGCTCCGGTTCTAAGTAAAGATGTAGAGGTGGGGGGAGAAAGAAGGAGAGGCGTGAGATGGAGAGCAGAGCAGAGTAGTTGTTTCACGTCCACCACTGAGGCACAAAAAAAATCAATCAATGATGCGCAGGCATAGCAAAACCTGGCTTACCTAGGTACAAAAGAACAGCATGTTCATACATTGATCAGCTACATATTTACAAAATGACAAGACCCAAATGTCACCAAAAGACAGATTTCTGACGCAGTTTCCCCAAATCCCTAAATACAACCCAGAGGGTTCTGTTTTGGTTTTTATTTTTTAATCTAAAAGGCTTAGCATAATCAGTAAAATGTTCCTGCTATGTTAACACAAGCTAAATTCCCATAACGATGGTGAATTCTATGAGCAAGGAAAACAGTGAAGTTGACTGGTTTGGTTCGTTTCGATCTTTTCTGACCTGTCTCTTCACAATTTTAAAATTTTCCCAAAGAGATGGGATTATACCAATTTTTCATAATCGCATCCTTTGCAAAAGCTTTCTCATAAATCACTGTCAATGGCTGAGAAACCCGTTAACCCTGTTAAACAAATGACCCAATAACCCCAGAACCAGGTGCTAATTGTAAACACTGATGCTTCCACAGTCTACTTACAGAAGTTTGGGATGTCAAATTGTAGTTCTTGCGTTCAAAAAGTTCAAACATTTAAATCTTCAAAACCATTCTACTGTAGCAGCCTCTGCACTTTCCATTCAATGTTCCAATTAGGATGGCTAGGTTTGGACTCTGACATTGAAAGATAAGCCTGGCTCTCACATGCCGTTGAAATTTACCTCAAAACTGCTGGATGAAAAAGAGGTCTTTGCTGGCTGATCAAATTAAACAGCAACTGAATTAGGGATACCTTTTGTTGTGAGTCAGAGTTGTGACATAATTGAAGATGCAGTAGGCCCATTTCTATAAATTAGTGTAAACAAAAAGCAAAAACAACACATTTAGCCAGTGTTCACTGGTAATATTTGCCCAAATATTGGCACCTCCTTCTTTTCTAGTACAAGAAGTAGAAAACACTACGTATTCTTATGGAACACAAATAACTTTTTTAAATATCAGCCGGGTCACATGTGAGAATCATATGCCCAGAAAAATTAAAGGTGAGGAGAAAGAGCAGGAGTAGAGGGGGGGGCGCTGGAGTGTCAATGGAAAGCGAGAGCAAGCAGGAGAGATGAGAAACAAATGGATTAAAATATAAAAGCGGGGCTGAATGGGGGGAGCAGGGGGCGACATGTGTGAAAATAGGCAGGAGGGGGCCGGGGTTTTGCTCTTCATGTGTTAGAAAGCGCTGCTGGCATTAGATTGTCCCTCTGAGGCTTGTGGCCACTCTGCGATCAAACGGTAAATCCTCTCTGTCATCTTGCAAAGCAGAGTCCGTGTCAGGTCTGTAATTTCAGAAGTGGCTCCACTTCCATATTGAGATATCTGTCCCTGTCTCCTCATCCCGTCACTCATCCCACCTGCGCGTCAAACTTTTCTGTCACTCATCTCCCACTTGTCTTTTATCTTTTTCCCTTCTTTTGTCCGCTCTACCTCCAGCTACCTTCACCAACTGCGATGACCACAGCCCTGAGAGGAATCTCCTGCTATCTGAGAGAGGTGAACAGCACGAGCCGTCTGTCTGTTTGGTTCAGTGCGACCCTCCTTTGGTCAGCCCCTGTAGTCCGCCTTTCAACATGTCTTAAAGGGCAACATTTGACTTTTTTGGGGAAATATGGTAATCCATGATTCATTTCCATAAACAATATCTGTTCTCTGATGATATCTGCATTCATGGGCCCCCTTGGTGTGGATGTCTGCCGCCCACACTGGAGGCACTGGCAAAAAGTGGCTGCTGCACCTTGAGGCTAAGTTATCTGATGGTGGCCGATTCCAGGCCGAAATATGATTAAACACAAGCTTTTAACTAATCTGTTCTGCCCTTTGAGCATTTTAGTGCTTTACATACTCACCTTAATGGGTCTCAAAGTTAAGTCAATATTGTGATTATTTTTATTTTATGGCAAATATTTTTGTTGATTGGCTGCATTTTAAAGAAGATTTTCATTTACTGAAAAATCTAATCTGATTATAGATGATTGAGAAATCTAAAATATCTAATAAAAGAAATATTTTCCGTCCGTGTGTCAACCAAACAGTTTAGAAAGACATGACTAAATTAGGTGATAGATAACATAAAAATGAAAAATAATCTTTCCAGTGACATCCTGCCGCACTCATGTCTTTGTTGGAAGCTTGCTTTTATAACATGTTTAGTGTGATACTATGAAACCATTTGTCACAATCTGTGTATACTTTTCTGTTTAAAAGCTATTCATAGTATACCAACACAGATATGAAAACCACTCACAGCTAAATTGCCATTATATTTTTAATCATCTCTAATGTTTGTTCAGCTGAGAACCCTGGGAGTTGGCATTCATATCATATAGATTCGTTTTCTGACACATACCTCCCACACAGACATTTCTACAGGGCAAGCGTGCTTTTCTATTGCAATTTTACTCCCAGATGGTAGCAGCGTAGTAGGACAATGTGCACTGTATCTGTACAAGAAAATAGCACACCATGAACAACTCAAGGTGGGGACTCCTGATCTCTACCAATATGAAGGAAATCCACACTTCACATTGCAACACACAGGCCCGAAAGGATCTCTATGGAAAACTTGGGATGCTTGCAGCACAGAATATGCCCTAGTAGTTGCGTATTTCTTTCAAAAGGAAGCAGTGAATCTGAATAATTAAAATTTAAACACATAGTTTCACAAATCCACAATTCGAGGCACCAAAAAAAATACACTAACGTGTAACACTAACAGATTATTAGTTCATAAAGGTGAAGCGATTTGACTGCTCTGCAGCCTGCTGTGACACCAGGGCTACTGTCAACTTAGCAGCAATGTTTCACACTGTTGGATTTCATTTGCTGTCCACCCTGTACCTCAGTGGAAATTGAAAAGACTCGGGGATGAAATAATCTGAATGTTGCTGTTGCTATGAAAACGTGAGAAAAAGGAGTGCCACAACTCCTGTGGCAAAGACAATCTTTGACAAACTCTGAGGATCCAATGTGGGGTTTTTAGGCGCTTTATTGCTCCTGGCTTCAGGATTTTCCATACACAACATCAAACTGTTACCAAAGCATTTGACAACAAGTGGAACATCAAATCGGATTCAAAGTGACAGATGAACGAAAGCAAAGAAACAGCAACAGAGGGTGAGGAGGGAGAAGACAGTGTTCTCTCCGGCCCATGACTCACCCTCATAGCCTACAGCACAAATATATGTACACTATTAATAGGAGGTTTGTAAGTTTGCTCTTTCAGGACTCAAATCACTGTCAGTGCATGATTTTTGCAAGAGATTTTTGTTATTTCCAAGATGGAGATACCTTTGTTCTCTTACAACTGTCTCCTCTCTTTAGTATCTCTCCATCTCTCATTAAGTCTTATCTTCAGGCATGAGGTGGACACAGCCATGGCGATCAATATGCCACATCCCTCTTCACGCTCCTGCCTCACGTTTTCAAATGATCTCAACAGCTTGCGCCCTCTCTTTTCCTTATTCTTTCTCTTTTTTCAGTCCTCGTCTGTTTTTTTTCGGTGGAAATCAGCATTACTGCCAACATCCAGTTCCCCATCTGTCCTCATTGGGTTTAAAACTCGCAATTAGTGTGGGTAATTCACACCAGGTTTTCTCACAAAGCAGGAGCCTAGACCTTCACAGATCGATAGAGAACAAGTCATTAGAGAGGTGGAAATAAATAAGCATCGACTACACACAAAGCGACAGACAAATGGGGGGTGGAAAATTTGTAGGCGGGTTTACAAGGTGAGACGATTAAAGGATACATTTAACAAGCTTTAAAAAGGTGGAAGATACAGGCGGCTCATCCTAATGAGGCTAAAGGACTACACTGGTCCTCCGGTTTGGGTTGGTGCTCACTTTACCTGATGTATTGGGTTTCAAAATGGTCAAAAGAAATCTTCCGTCAGCATCAGATGAATACTTTTGACACTACTAACGTGCTCATTTTTATGCACAAGACTATGTCTTATCCAAACATTAAATTGACACATTAGAATTCTTTTTGGGTCATGCTTATGTCCATAGCTCAGCGGCAAGTCTAGAAACAGTGGGAAACAGACTGCCTCTGCCTAAGGTCAGAAACTCACTAATGAACCTGTTACAGTCCACCAGTCCAGAACTAACACTCTTTTTTAGCTTTGTTTAGCCCTCCACTAACTCCTAGGGGGGTAAATCTGGCTCTTGAGCTTCTAAGTACTCCACTATGTTTACCCGTTAGCTGCTGACTTTGTGTACGTGTCATTTGGTGCTGCGGGGAGTGTAGAGTGGGTTTACTGTTTCAGAGCTTTTCTGTGCAAACAGCTGCTCACTTTGTCTGGAATGAATATTTTGAACCACTGTAAAAGAAAATAATAGTGAGAGACTAAAACAAGTCAATACAGTTGAAATCAATGTGTCAATCAACAGGTTGAGCTGATCATTCTCCCAAATGGAAGATGGATGATGAAAGATTTTTAGCTGTCATGGACCAGCCACAAATGCAGCACACAAACCGTCTTCCTGATTTTATGGTTTCCCTCATATTTGTGTCATTTCTCTTTGGCAGTGGGAGACGGAGCAGCACAGAAGTCTGGAGGAAAGAGGTCGTCTGCTGCTCTGTCTCCAGTACCTCCCCCCAAATACTGAGGCAGAATTGAAGGGCGAGGCCAAAGAGAGAGCTCGCGGTGGGCTGTGCGTGGGCGTCAAACGCTGCGCCCACCTGGCGGCCATGGATGTCAATGGTTTCTCCGACCCCTACGTTAAAACGTAAGGATGACTGAGTCACTGTCTGAATACTAAGACGTCAAACCATTAAAATCCGCCTCTGCCTTCTGAATCTTTCATGTGAAACCCACATGAAACCCCTGTCTGACAAACAACCAAGTTATAGACGTTTCTAAAGCGGCCTATGCTATCTGCACCACGGTGACCTTAAACTTGTTTTTAGCTGGATGTTGTGACAGGCAATATTCAAACACATTAATGAAGTGTCCCCTCCCCAGGTAATCACAGCCTCACCATCCTGGGGAACGTCGCTACTTGTTATTTGGCCCAAATACTGAGGCCCTCATGGTTCACAGTTCAAGAACCATCTGTCCACTTAATGTCTAGGTTGCTGACACTCGGTGTGCCCCATGCTAATAGATTATCGGTGTAATTTACTGCATCTGTGAATGGTCATGTTTTTGCCTATTTATGTGTAAATGAGTTTTAAAAAGTAGTTTAATGGTTTTCACACACATTTCTGAAAACCCTGAATCTGGATGATTACTTTAACCATCTGCCTCATAATATCTGTATGTGTGCTGTGGAGCAAAGTCGTCACCAGGTTTTGTGATCTGAATTTACTTTACCGGAGCCAAGGCATCATTAGCATGGTATTTGATGGATAGGCAATTATTTAGGGCTTTGTTTCAAACTCGCTCTGACTGTCTGGGTCTTTAACAATGAATACACAGCCACACACACCAAACCCAGACGGATGGAATGACATTCCATGCTCATTTCAGGCTCTGAACTCTACAGCCTCCCTCACTTAACACCTTAACACCTGTGTTTGGTTTTTATGAGCCCCTGGGATCTTATTGACCACATAGATCACCTTATGTTCCCACGTGTAGGTGATAGACGACCAAAGTTAACCCGACAGAAGGTAATGGTGACAAATACGTGTTGACAGCTGGAACCATTGTGAGACATTTCACCCATTTATCAAGATAATAACAACAATGGTTGTATTGCCAGCCTTCCAAATGTCATGACAGAAATTATGTGATCATATGTTATGGAAGTTTTGTATCAGAGAAGAGATGCAGGACTAAGAAAAACAAATTATGAGGTCGTTGTTGTTTTTATAAGGTCCTTTGCGGTTTCATTACTTACTGATGATAGAAAAACAATACAGTGTGTCACTGTGTGTGTTGGTGTCTACACCAGGGAGGGCAGGAAGGTCCCTGGGTTGACAGATGGAACTTGACAGATAGTGGACAAATGGGTTGTAAAATCCATTTGTCCATCACTGAGTGGTGGCTGTTGAAGCTGGGGTTTCACATCGAAGCTGTCTCTGGAATTATTAAAACATTATGCAGCCACAAAACCCTCATCAAATGTAAGGCTCATTCTAATTTTTAAAAGTTTTAATCTAGTCTGGAAACGAAAGGAGATCTATGTAAATTGATTATTTTGTTTGATGAATCATCTTATGAGAATATCCTTTGTTTAGTCACAATCTATCAAAGTCGGTACAGAAACACGATCCCACAGTGAATAGCTTTAATTTGAGAAAGAGAATTCTAATGCTCCACCTATGCTTCTTTAGTTAATTACAAACCTAATCTAATAAACTGAGCGAAATCTCAACTGATTATTCAATTTATAATTTATCCTCAGACTTTTTTTTCCATCTGAAGAAATTCCATCATAATTAAGTGGTTTTAATTTATAACAAACCATCTTTGTGCAATGTTTCCATGTGCTTCAGTATCTTATTGACAAGTGAAAGCTATTTGCATTCAGATACTGTCATGTGAGGCACCTCATGATGGTTCTCTGCTGTTCACATGCCTAAGATGGTGACAACACTAGACATAACAGTTTATATAATTTATCTGACCTTAAACCAGGGATGTAAATTAACATTACATGCTCATTTCATATCCAGAATACGTAACTATATGTAACTGTGGATAAAACTCCAAATGGGAATGCTCAAAGTGTTGTGCACACAGATAGTCATGCCTGCATGCTCAACTTACATCAGTACATACCATCCCTTTTTCTTTCCCCAAAATCTTAATGGTAGCGTGTCCATGCATCCATCCCTCACCTCCACAGAAAAACACTGTACATCACGCACCTTGTTTCACTTTGGATGCGAGCTCACATTTTCGCCCTTTGGCTGCCAGGAGCTTCTTCCCAGATGCTTTGTTGTGTCTGAGAGCGTGTGGGAACATACGTGCTCCGAGCTGTGGGTGGTGGGTGGAAAACAAATGTGAACAGAGATTTTGCCACACTCCTTCCAGCTGGCTTAAAAATATCCCGAGAATTTAATGACAGCCTGTGAAAGGGATGCTGAGCTTTTTCAGTCTGCTGTGTTACTGATTAGCTCTCACTCGGAGTTAGTCTTACATAGAATACAATAAACCTTGAGGGGATTGGTAATTAGATTAAATAAACTCTCTACTGTTTGTTTAATACCCCATGTAGTAAACTTAATTAGTTTAAAAGTGTCCTTAGGATTGTATATTTTAAATATATATTTCATTGCTTTCAATTAAGATCTCGCCCAGTCCGAGCAACAGCCATCCCTTTTATCATAAACACTGAAAAACAGATAATTGGCCATACATATCAATATGAATTTTACTTCTGATTATTTCTTAAGATCCAAACTGTAGAAATGTTTACAAGACAAACTAACAAGCTGTTGTTACCTGTAGTAAGATCTTTATTAGCTTTCACTGTTGTCATATTTATTTATTTTGTCAATCTCTACATTAAAGTAGAAAGCCCAAAATAGCATGCCCTAATTTACTGGACATTTTCTTGGTAGATAGATATACTTGGATACCAGAAATATTCATTTCTATTTTGAAATAAGAGTTCAAAGCCCTTTACAATTTCATATTGTTCCTTTAAAACATTTCCTCTCTAAATGCCTGACATCATCATGAACAAAATTAGAGAGATTTCTAGTGTCCTTACACAACTTCATCCATGTATGTCAACACATTGACTTTTATAGCTGACTTTTTCTGTTGCCCTTTACCATTTTATCCAGACACCATGTACCTGAACACGCACATGATTATGACACTCATGACATTATGAATAATGGTATCAATTTTTCTTTCTCAGGTATCTGAAGCCAGACGTTCAGAAGAAATCCAAGCATAAAACAGCAGTCATTAAAAAGACACTCAACCCAGAATTTAATGAGGTAGTGTTCATGTTTGCATGCATGTGTACGTGTACCAGTGAGGATGAGATACACAACTGTCACAAGACAGCGCATTTTGATCAGTAAAGCTCACATAGGTATAACGTGCGTGCTAAACTTTACAGACTTTTTCTAACAGAATTGTCAAAATATAATTTTTAGTATTAGCTGTACTGTTGTCGAACACACACAAAAGCTACAGAAAATGATCTAGTTGTGCATTTGATGTGATCCTCTGACTTCTTTTTTTGTAACCAGGAGTTCTTCTACGAAATATCCTTCTCAGAATTGGCTACTAAGACACTAGAAGTCACAGTGTGGGACTATGACTTGGGAAGGTCAAATGACTTCATAGGTGAGATGCTGTTATTTTTTTTATCATGCATTAACTAGAGGGGTGGTTTGGTGGTTAGCACCATCGCCTCATGGCAAGAGGGTTCTGGGTTCAAGTCCCCGGGGGAACCTGGACCTTTCTGTGTGGAGTTTGCATGTTCTCCCGGTGTCTGCGTGGGTTCTCTCTGGGTTCTCCAGCTTCCTACCGTCCAAAAACTTGCATGTTAGGTTGATTGGATATTCCAAATTGCCAAAAAAGTGAGAGTGTGTGTGGTTTTTTGTCTTTGTGTGGCCCTGTGATGGACTGGTGGACTGTCCAGGGTGTACCCCGCCAACTGAATACTGGGATAGGCTCCAGCCCCCTGCGACCCTATTTGGGAATAAACGCTTCAGAAAATGGATGGATGCATTAACTAGATGCCTTATTTTATGGCGGATGCTGCCAAAGATATTTTAAGATGTTCTGAATTGGCTGCCATCTAAAGAGCAGTGTAGCACTGTATGCAATTTGCAGGATTAGTCACCAAAAGGATGTTTATTTGCTGATAGCTGAGAGCTACTTGCTCAGTGAATGATAACATTTACTTTTGTTGCCCTGCTTAAATTTTGAGTGCTTCTGCTTTTTCTTTTAGAGTCAAAACAATCAAATTCACATTAAATTCTTTTCTATCCAGTCTATCTAATCCTGTGCCTTCTTATTTTCTGTTGTGGGCTGTCTTTTTTTTCTGCATGGTTTTTAAATCGGGGCCAAAATAACAGGAGCTCTTATCCTCTGGTACAGGTCCTCAATGTTCATGAGTACCTCAAGAAATCCATAAAACCTTTATCTCTGGGGTGACATGCATAGCATGTGATCTGAGAGGAAATGTTAAAAAGGGTAATGTGTCATATTCATTTTTTATTTTTAATTCCCACTTTTCCTTTACAATGAATAAATTTTTTTTCAATTTGATTGATGTTGTAAAAATCACTTAATCGCTTTGATTGTAGTTATATTTTAAACAAACCTATTTATAACTTAAGAAGACCTATGATACATTTGCCAGCATCATTTAAATGCAGTGTTGTGTAAAGGTCACCATAAACACTACATTTCCTATGGTTATGCTTCCAACTAACCAGAGCTTCTGATAATCTTTGGAAGCATTTTCGTATAATAGTTCTCCAGCCTTTTCGAAAAACTTTAACAACTTTTCTGTGGATGCTTGCTGCTATTAAATCTCATTTTCAGTCCAGTCCATGTACCTGATTTTCATAAGAAAGTGTTTTAAGATGCTTAATACTGAGGACAGAGTATTTCAAACATAACAATGGTCCTACCTCCATAGTGTCAACACACAAAAAACAACTTAACCAAGAAATGGCACCTTAAAGCACTAACAGCCTGTCACCAAAACACATAATTTGCACCCAATTTATTATCTGGATCCAACATAACACATTTTGACAGACACATTTTTACACCAACAAGGTGACTCTAAAATAGCCATTAGCTATAAATGTGACATTGCTCAGAATGATGTGCCTTCCCAGGTTTACAGCAGATTAACTGCATCTTAAAATGATGTACTCTAGAAATATAAAAAAAATCCAATAAAGACCTGTCATAGGATGTGAGTCAAGCATCTCACCCCTGCTGTTCACCAAGGCTCCTCCAGAAATGGTCTCCATGGAAAGCTTTCTATCAATAAACAATTATTAAGGAAGAAACAGAAAGAAAAGGCTGAGATATGTAAAATGATAAGAGGTGGGTTGAAAAGGAGTGCTAACAGCCCTAATGGAGGGACGAATCCTTCCCAGAGCCTGACCCTCAACATTATTGAAATAGTATGGCATCCCATTGACAGACAGAAAAATAAAGGGCAGCCAACATCCAAAGAAGAGCTTTGAAAGGTAAATATTCCCTGAAGACTAAATACAGAAATTAATAGAATTTGTCCAAGAGATTTGAGATTTGCTCATACCAAATATTGGCCTTTTTCAGAACTAATTTTGTTTTTGATCATCTATATTGTCTTACTATTTAGCATTGCACATATCTTAATAAATCAGATTGCCACACTGATTTTCTTTTTTTAAAATGACAGGAGCCTCAAGTATTTTGCAAAGTGTTTTAGGCGCATTTGATAGCATAAGTTCAAACAACTTAAAGAAAATATCTGTTATCAATTCTTGTGCAGTGCTTTAAGTAAAAGAGAACAACACAGAGAGGAAGGCTGAAGCTTCTGTGAATTACGTGAAATAACTCCACAACTCATGAGACTAACTTTAGGCTTTCAAGAACACTTTTGCCATCTTACATGAAGTCACCCCTTTTTTCATTTTACTCAAGTCACTCTTCCATGTGTTTGTTCTGGTATAGGGGGAGTATCCTTAGGGTGCCACTCACAGGGAGAAACCCTGCAGCACTGGGTAGATTGTCTGAAGAACAAGGGGAAGAAGGTGGAGCGCTGGCACACTCTGACCAATGATCTGCCAGGATCCAATCTGCAGGAATGATCCCAGCATCCTCCTCTGCGCTGACACTGGAAGCACAGCCTGAACAGTCGGGATGGGGATCTTTCATCGCATGCTCTGAAGATTTTCTGCATGACTGTGATGGAGTCATATCCTACTTACTGTGTGTCATCAAAAGGGTTTATGATTCATGGCAGTTTACCCAAACTGGGCACAGTCACAGAGAGGTCCAGCTCAAATCTGACAAGCTGTGTTCAAATTAAAAAGATGAAACCAATGAAATTATCTTATCAACATTCAAAAGCATTCATGTACCTGTGGAGGGTTTTCCATGCACTTATGCGCTGCCCCAAACTGGACAGATCTCATTCAACAAGTCAAAGTGAAATCCTTCACATTTGTATGAGGAAGGAGATTTAATTGGTCTGAGGGTTTGACTTTCAAATCATCCGTCATATCAGGTTTGCTTACTATTATTAAATAATTTTCATTAACTGCTGACATTAAAACTCCACAGTAATGACCATCTGTCTCGCAGCCCACACACTTCTCTGTTGCAATAATTTTTTCCCTGATGCTTCCTGAGATTTCCAAGTGGTCTTAAAACTGTTGGATGTTTGTTTTCTTTTTTGCATCTATTGATCTGCCTGTCAGTATTAGTTTGCCTGCAGACAGGTCAGCCTGATAAGATAATTGGCTCTTTCATGTCAGTGGTTTGTGTGAGGTGTTCGCATGTTTGGTGTTAATGGAGCCGAGCTTTGCAGCAGGACGACACACTCCTCCGGGTTGTTCTCTTGAGATGTTTTGCTTTGAATGAACGAAGAGAAGTTTGTTTTATTCGGCTATTTAAGTGTTGTTTTCATAGTTGTTTGGAGTGTCAGCTCTGATAACACTGTGTCAGTTACCTGTCGATGGCACATTAATGTTGACCCAGTCCCTAATTAGTAAAGAAAAGGACGGTGATATCTTTGGGGGAAAAAAGCTTCACAGCAACAGGGTTTGGCGAAGAGCTGTGCATGGTTGTTGTCTGACACGGTAAATGTAACCACCAGTCTTTGTTTTAATGCAGATGAATTTCAAATAGTGTATAGAGATCAGTATTGTCTGGTAACTCTCCATGTCTGTTGCTGCTGTTGCTGTATTATGGATTGCATTTAGGATGAGGTCAATGAGAAATGCTGGTAATATCAGAGGTGTTTATATGTAAATAAATGGTGTTTCGCTTGTTTTGGATATTTATCTTTTGGAAAGTGTGCATGTTTTTGATTTGTTTTTCTCATAAAACATTCATATCAACTTCTGTGTGCTTTTCATTTTCCGTTATAATGGCGCTCTAGTGCCAAAGTCTAACCTCTTTTTTCCCAGCGTGGTGGCGCCCAGATAAAGCCAACACTGCCGCCGGGCTTCTGGATCCACATCTGCAGTCTGTAAAACAAGAGGAATTACTCCAATATGGGTCATGAAGCCCGAGGTTTGTGGTGTAATATTTTCAGAGAGAAATTTATTGAGGTTGGATTGCAGCTTACAGGAGACTGGTGAGAAAGTGGAGCTGAGGACCAAACCAAGGAAGTGAGGAGAACGAGGAGTGATGACCAGAATGACATTCCAAAACACAGCACAGGGGAAAAGCCTAAAACAAATCATGACATTTTCAGTTTATCATGGAGATACAATGTAAATGAAATGTAAACCAAGACACTTATGAACATAAACTAAATGTTTAAAGTATTAATGTAATGATCACTACTTATAGTCATAAGATTAATAGTCGTTCTACAACAACCTGGTGATGGTATTCTTTTAACAAACACAAATTCTATTTAACTCATGTTAGACCTATGTTTGCATTCGATTTTCTTATCATTCAAACCTTCAACCTGTCCCTGATTGCTGTGGGCAGGTTGGAGATTAGTGTTGGTCCATGAGGGGGAGCACCAGAATTGGCTCATCACAAACTACTGTAGTCACTCATATTTTCTACTGAGCAAGAAACAAGCCCTGTGTGAAATGAGAGAAGCCTGCTATTGTTTCATCTTAGTCACTTTTTGTCCCTGGCTTTAATCAAACATTGACTTCACTGCTGAAGTCAAACAAGGACTTTCTCACGCCTTTGTACACTTAATGAGGGGATGATCCGAACCCCGAACATGGGCATTTATCTCATTTTTAAAATGTCTTGTTCAAAATCTTCCTAATACATTTCTGACTTTATTTTGTAATTAGAAATATTAACAAAATAGAAATATGAAGACAAATATTCTTCTGATGATACTAACCAAGGACTCACTGAATGTTAAGACAATATTTGCAGATGTGTGTGCATATATTTAGTTTTGAGCTCTAGCTTTTTACTTACTCCGACTTCTAGAGAATGGTTATCAATGACAATTAAAGTAAAAGCTTGGAGCACTGATGAAGAAACATCAGAGCTCTGCTTATATTACACAGAGTGCAGCATTAGGGCTGCCCGGCGGTGTGGTCAGCAGCCGGTGAGTTCCTGTCCATGTTTTCGCCTGCCGGAGCTGCCTCCAACGTGACAGCGGCATCAGTCATTGATGGTGTAGATACTGTAATTAATACTGTACAGATTTATTGATATTATCAATTCTGATGAAAGATTAAAAGACTGAAGATTAATACAGATTTGTAATAGATTTTTGGGGCGGGTAGTTTTAATTACTGAGCCATGATTAGAGCTTTAGTGCCACCTAGCTGGGATTGTTGTTGAAACAGGGGTGCTGTACAGTTAAAATGGACCTAAATAGCCTGCAGCTTGCAGATACTCCCATGGCAGTACTCAATTAGAAGCTCGTTCATAATTAGATTTGCACACATCCCATTAAATTAGTCACTGCCGGTAAAAAAAAAAAAAACTTTGCAGGCTCCTCAGACTGGACCACATGTTAAAATGCCACAGAAAACATGACTGATGAAACCAGGGATTACTTTTAACCATGGAGCGTTTCGATATGAAAAAAAAGAATGTATAATGATTCTATGTGAGATCTCTATCAGGCCCCTGAAGAAGGATCACAGTTCCACAGTAACTTGGTCAACAGGCCTACTTTCACTATCCACAGGCTGTGATGTGTAACCAAACCCCTCATAAACAGTTTGTGCTCCCCTCTGTTGCACACATGGCATATGTTAAATGTACTTAACCAAATATAATGAAATTATTAAAACTTTTTTTTCATTTTAAGGTAATTCAGAAACAGAACTTTCAAATTATTCTTTGTCAATGTTGCATGAGACATTAATTATGACAAATTATATTAAATCTCTTCTCCACTCAAACTAAAGAAAACATGATCAAGTTCAGCACACTGGAAGTGTATCATTACATTAAAGATTACTGAGCTAAAATGGGTTGCCTCATTTTCAGGGCATGTACAATTTGAAACATGTTTTGCCCGATTGCCCTTCTTAAAAATTTTTGGAGTGGAAAAGAACATTTACGCAACTTTTAACAGACAATCTCTTTTATATGTGTTAGTCTCATCAGAGAAGTTATCAAATCACGCAACATTAGTTTACAAACTCCCCCAAGAAATGTTGGGGAAAGAGCATGCATATTTCTTTCTAATTTTCTAGCAATTAGTCAACTCCCTCCCCAGTTGATAGACCCAGATTACTGTTAATGTACAAATGAGCATCGTTCAGAGAAACTGAGTGGATGATCGAGCAGCTGAATTTGACCACTGTTCTTGACAGAGGATTCTTTTCCTGCACATTGATGACTTGAGGTAATTAGATTATTCTTCACATCACTTGAGTCTCAGACACATCTCATTTCACTCGTCATATCCACATCAATCCATCCAAGCGGTGAATCAGGCTAATTAGGATTACTCCTCCTCAGCCAGTTTCTCCCTGCACATGAGGGGAGCCATGTTGGCACATGCTGGTCCAGTTCTCCTCAGACTGACAGCAGGACCTTCATGATGCATCCAAACAACAGCATGCTGACTTGCTGCCTCGTTGTTTACGTGACCCAGCTGGATAATCTCTGACCCACTTATCGCATCTGGACGCGACTCTGATATACAGTTTCTCTGCCGGCAAAACTGTACTGTATGAGTACTGTTGAATAAGCTGAGCACAGAGAAAAGTGACCTCAACTGTCACAAAGCTAGCGCAGGTGACAGAGGATGGCTGTGGGGTTGGATTTCTGTCAAAGCTCTTCATTTTGAGAGTGAATACATACACTAATTCAACATAGCTCTGCTTCTTTTTGTATTTGATTTCAGTGTGTGTGTGTGTGTGTGTTGCTGAGGTCAGTTTGTATCTCCCTGCTCTCATTTTGTCTTTATTTAAAAGTTTATGTCAGCCTGTTTTTGACCTGTTTGTTTGACTTTCATAATTTTGTGGTGATGTTTCTTTACTGTTTACATTTTTATCTTCATTTTTACAAATGTAAACATTTGGGTTAAGAAAAGGTTTAGGGTCCCTCTGTGGGTTTGAGTCTTTTTTAATGTACCTTTAAATCAATGTATCTGAACTTGAACTCATAGGAAACCCTTCCTCTGATCATGTCCCCTTGGGAACAGCTCTTTCTAGGTTTAGTTGTTTTTAATTTAATATTATTTTCATTTATATTTTGGACACTTTTCTTATCTTTGCTACCATTCTGAAAGCATTACATTATTCAGATGTTTTTGGTTGTTCTGTTTCTCTGTGGTTGTCCTGAATCATTTCCTGCCGGTTAAGTGTCTCATATTGGTCCTTTCTGACTCTGTGTTGTTGCCACAATTTGGTTGTTTTGCATTTCAGCATGTCTCATTTGTCTCGTGTCTCTGTAACTGTTTTGCATCTTGTTGTTGTTAGATTCTTATTAAATTGTCCTTTCATATCTCCTCCTTTAGATTCTTTGGTGTGCATCTCTCTAACATTTCATTTAGATGGTTTTATTTGATAATTTAAGATATTGTAGTTGTTATTGTTACAAGAATTAAGGTAGAAGTGCAAAAATATATTTTTTTAAAGCCATTTACCCTCATGCAATACATCTACTCTATTTTTTTCATTTGTTCTTTTCTTACAGTTCTGAAAAAATTAGTTACTGGGACTATGAAAGAGGAATGACTGCACATCCATTGCAGATAGCCTCATCAAGAGTTCAAAATGACGGGGGACATTTTGTTTGGATTGTGCTGAACTCATCTGAGAAGCAGCCCATTAGAATGTGTTTCCTTGGCTCTGAGCTATACCTTTCAGCATTTTGCTCTTCCTGCTGTCTCCACTCTGCTGCCTGCCAAGAGCAGGCGCTTCGCATCACTGCAGCTTAAACACTCTCACGCGCCTTAAAAATACACCCAGTAATACTCTCCTCACTCTTTTTTTTTTATACTCTCTTGAGAAAAATTGCAAAACACAATCTCTTCTGGGCTGGCTAAGCTCTGGACAAATCTCACTTTTGACACTCAAAGACTAAAGCTCTTCAATCCGCTGCTGGACTTAATCTCATCAAAACAACAGTGAAAACCCGTCACATGCATTGTGTCTTTATTATGAATGTGTTGCAGAGAATAATAATCTGTTTCATTTGACTATATAAATTGTATTATACTACTGCTATTACACAATAATAAAAACTCACAACATGCCTGTAACTACAAAGATCATAGAAGCCCGGTGAGAATATAATGACTGTCAGGAGACGGACTGACAGCAGCTCTGCCCACGCTAGATCATGACTACATAATGCTAAATCATATCAACTAGGGAATTATCACAAAATTGAGATTAATGTCTGCAGAACACATACAGTAATTGGTTACAATTAAATTTACATCATAAGAAAAGCCAGTTTTCGATATCTATTCTTAGAGAAACTCTGAGAATGACACTCTAGATCCGTGTCTATACATGATTGAACTTCCAGGAAACAGTAAATAAAGACTTCCATCTGGTCTTAATGACCCAGTAGTTAAAGATCACAGTGAGAATCACAGGTAGATAAAGATTAGAGGTTAGTTCAAGACAAAAATGAGTATCAGAAGAGTAACAAACCATACATTAAAATTACTTCTTCAAACTAACACTATTTAGTGCTACTTAACAGTTCTTATCCACAGAGCCATGCCTGAACCATCATATTGTCAATTAGCCATCAAAAGATCATTTCACGTGTACATAAGAAAAGGGATATAAATAAATGTTAGTGACACTCCTGGGATAACATCAACCTTTTAAGATCTTATAAGGGAGTAGAATTCCACATTGTGTGTGGTTTGAAAGCACCTGTGGATGGAATCTGAGGCTGAGGCCGCGTCTCTGGCGACAATAACAAGCTATTGAATTTGTTAACCAAATAAAGATGCCCGTACACACAGCTCTCCCTTCACCTGTGCTGCTTCATGGGCACCATGTCAGGAGGAAAAAAACGTACGTTTCAAAAGGATCTTTTACAAACATTATCAAAAGGTAGGATATAGATGATGTTGTAGATGATTTGCTACAGTTGGTTTATTTGAATCAACCCTTTCCCAGCTCACAGTGGTCAGTGGTGTCTGTATATATACAGGAAAGTTGCAGAGGAGTGGAGCCTCATTTTTGTTTCTTCTGTGATCAGAGTTGGGTTTCAACGATGCAAGAAACTTTCCCTCTAAATTCATTTATTTGGCACATATCTCTTCTTGCAGAGATGACAGTGACTTCTGTGAGATTTTCCATAATCCCTTCCACTGCAGCAGCCATAGCTAGTCCTTGGTAAGCCTTCCTTTCATCCTCTTTCGCCACCCGTACACTTGCTCTTAAACACAAGATGTAGGGCACCGTGGAGTCGTGAAAGTCACAGAGGACAGTCTGAAACAAGAGGACATCGAGCAGTTCAAAGCGTCTCTCCTCTGTGAGGGAAAAGGATGAATTTCGGCCGTTTGACTCCCATTGAAACATAAATCCCACAGCCTGTCCGTGTGTATCTGAGGGGATTTAATGCCAAGCTGATGCGTCCTGTTGCCGGTGCAGTGAGGGGTGGACTTGGCAGACATTTTGAAGGGGCTTGTACGTGTGGCTGACGCTGGGAGGCTTCTCTGTTTTGTAGTGCACCGGTTCTGCAGGTGCTAATCGTGTTCTCAAAGGGTCAGTGACATTCAGTATAATCGCTCTGAACATATGGGCAAGAAAAAGGAATGGTCTGATCGGTCTCCCTGTTCCCATCTCCATATGACAACAGACGGACCACTCCCTCCCCACCCCAGGCTGAGCGCTGCAGCATTTGCATACTTTATTTTCTTCCATTAGCGAAAGGGGATCATATATAGATTAGAGAAATACAAGTAAGCGCTGCACATGGGTGCATGTTTGTCACACGTCCAGGTAAAGACTATAGGTGGTAAAGATGGTGGTGCAGGTGCGGGCCAGACGGTCTGTTGCCTTATCCAGTTTCATCCTGGGATGAAACTCAGGTTTTCACATTTACTAAAAAAAGAAAAGGAAGCGTATTAGTTAGAGCTACCCTGAAACTTAATATGGATGTATAAACTTTCACAGAGCACAGAGGACAGTTACATCATGAGAAAAACAAGAATTGCTGACTCCCAGAGGTCTAAGATTCAAGTTGTGTCTACAACTGCTCTTCCAGTCATTGCTCTAATTGGGACATCTCTTGGATTAATAAGACCCACTGGCTACAACTGTGCACACTCAGAGGTACAGATAAATATCTGCTGGAACTGAATTAAATGACAAGGAAAAGAATCGTTTGGTTAACCGAGATGACCTTTCGTCTCCATGTTTAAAGACACATTGCTGGTGTAAACAAATACTAGTCTCTTTCTATACAAGGCACTGAAATGATCACTGATCTGTTATCAGAATCCCTTTATTTGAAAGGTACAATAAATGTACATTTATTCAATTTGTGAGTGTGTGATTGACTCACACACTGGCATGCGTAGTACACATACGGTACAGATTTCACATGTGGTACAAGCAAACAGCAAAACAGACACTACAGGCAAACTGAGGCATGCAGTGGGTTACAGCTGCAAGTGTGGTCAATAAAAAGTAGATTTAAGATCTCGTTACACTCTGCGTGTAGTGTTTATTAAAAATCTAAAAGGGTCCAGTGCATAAAGATGCATGCAGGCACTGGATGAAGAGAAATATGATGCAAACACAGATGGTAAGTTGTAGTACAGAATAAATACTTCAGCAGAATGGAGCTGCGACAGTAACGGGGTTTTGAACCAGGTGGATCACGACAGAGGATTTCAGAGGAAGAGAATGACCTGTGCATGGATACACAGGGGGTAAAGGGTTTAAAGGTCGGATTTGGGACACTCACTGGCCAGGTTGACAATGCAGGCGATGATAATGATGGTCCCTCCTACTAGTGAAACCACAGAGAGCATCTTGGCCACGCGTCCCAGACGCACGGCACCATCCAGGTTCCCCTGCTCCAGACTGTTCTTGGACTGAAAGAGAAGATTGAACAATCTGTGAGCGTCGTTTTTTTACCACACGTTCATGTTTGCGCAAGCCAGAATCGCGTCCCCCTTTTACCATGATGGAATAGACAAATCCGACTATGTTGATGGGCCAGACGGGGCAGAAACAGGCCAGCACAGACAGCAGGAGGTAGTCTTTGACCTTAGAGCGGTCCAGCGGGGGGTTTGTGGCGATGCTGGAGTGTCGAGAAATTGAGGGCCTCGGCGAGAAGGCGGTATAACCGATGGAGCTCGCCCTGCTGCCCTTCCTGGTCTTCCCGTGATGAGGGTAGGAGATTGAGTGTTGTCTTCTGGGTGGGGAGGAGATGACTGGAGAGAGGCTCTCTGCAGGCACGGAGTGGATCCCATTACCTGCACGTGAAGGTTGAAAAGGACAAGCACATGGTAAATGTGGTGTGTGTGTGTGTTGTCTCCCAGGAGCACATTCATGCAGTGGGATTTGACTCTCCCTGAGCTCGCTGACTAAGCAGCTGCATGACCCAACCTCCACCCACCCGCTCCGTCGACGAGAGGTCGACAGAGCTGAGCTACTCACTGTTCTTCAGTTTCTCGTTGATGACTATAACCAGCTCTCCTCTGGATTTGCTGCAGGGGGACCTCGCGCCGGTCGGGCTGCCGCCGCTGTCGAGGAGTTCTTCACCAGTAACCGGTGGGCATGGCACGGGGACGGAGGCTTGACCGGAGAGAGAGCCCTCCTGGTTCAGCAGCGAGGGTTGTTCCTCCTCTTGCCACACTGTGGGAGCTTCCATCATGTTCGCAGCCATAGTCACACCAAAATGAAGCTTCTGCTTGTTGTCCAGTCCTGTGTGTCTTGCCTGATATTAAAAATAACAATACAAAAAAGAAAATCAGTCCTGGGGAGCAGCATAGATTCACAAAGTATGATTGTGCTATTTAAAGACATCAATAGTCAACCTGAATCAAGGATTAAATGGCTTTGCAACTTATCTGTCCACAGAATTGTGCCTCAAATCTATTTTGCTGAATTTTGGGTATAGATGAGAAGCATGGCTAAAATGGGCAAACATACACTTTACTCACAAGATCACTAGGATTTAAAATCCATATCCTGTGCGGTTATCCCCAACAAGGCTAAAAAGTAAAACCAGGTTCAGAATACAATCTATCTAAAAGAGATGCCTTTTTACACAAGATTAGATAAGATTCGTTCAGTAAGAAAGTTTGTCTCTGAACCTAGGAGCCTCCCCCAGAGCGCCAGGAGATGATTCATTGGAGCATCTGTCTGTGTACTGTTGTCCTCCATCACCATCTGGTTCTATCAGCATTGTTACTCAGCCCTGCCTTCGCCCTGGATTCTGTGCTGTTGTTTTGTGTCATGAGCATGCAGCCAAAGGTACACATCTGGACAGATCACACGTCATTTTAAATTTGAAAAACTCAACTTAAAAAACAACAAAGATTCACGGGGATTCGATTAAGTTTTTATCACCCACGTTACCTAGTTGTTTTAGATATCTAACATTTAAGAGGCTGCATGTTTCCCGAGAAAAAAATAAATAAATGATAAATGGATGCATGATTTTGTGCTCCAGTGTTTACGTGAGGAATTCAAATTATTTGACATGAAATACACTTATGTGGAGGGGGGGGGGGGTGCTTCCCTGTTTTGTACTGCTGGTGTCTTCATATATTCAGACAAGGAGCGTCCCCCTTCTACCTAACCCATTTTCTACATAAACGTTCTATTAAAAAATAAGTTTTATTTACAATCACTAAATTATGATTTGGCTTAATTGCAGATTAGTTGCAGGCTCAGTATCATCATAATCCTCTTTGACATCAGATCACATTAATCCTTAAATCACTGGTCATATTTCTGAATTGTGCACAGTCAAACCGTGCACACACATATATATACAGTGTTGGGTAAGTTACTTTAAAAATGTAATCCGTTACAGTTACAAGTTACCTTGTTTAAAATGTAATTGTAGTGTAACTTTTTCGATTACTTTTAAAAAGTAATGTAACTAATTACTTTTGATTACTTTTTGATTACTTTAAGGTTTTAATGAGTATTAACCCATGATTAATTTTAGCATGTTATTATTAGCTATTAGCCGCAGCTAGCAGTTCAAGGCTAACGTCTTGTTAATGATCATAAACAACGTAAATAAATACATAAATAAATCGGAGACAAGGGGCGCAGCGACGGCAGGTCAGTCGTATCCGGATACAACATTTTAGTATCTATACTTTTTTAAGTATCGATGCTTTTGACAACCCTAGTCTGAAATGTAGGACATGTCTGGGAAAAAGAGGACGTCTGGTCACCCTACAGTTGGGTAGGCTAGGTAGGCTAGGCTAGGCTAGGTCATAGACATCGATAAACGTTTGTCATGCATCAACACCAAACAGTCAAATATTAGTAAATCAATACGCTTCGTCTATCAGTGAGTTGCATATTTTGCAAAGGTTTTTCTTTATATTTTTTAAAAAATGTAACTAAATTTGTAATTCTTAATATTTTCGGAAGTAACTGTAACTCAATTACATATTTTCTCATTGTAACTGTAACGAATTATAGTTACTCTTTTTTTGTAATTAAATTACGTAACGTCGTTACATGTAATCCGTTACTCCCCAACACTGTATATATATGGGCAGGATTCTCTATAAATAAAAGCTCATAGGTGCTCGGAGCTCAGAATGGCAGATGGCCTTTTCAAGAAAAGGAAAACGGGTCACAATGACAGAGGGAGTACAAAGGCATGGCAGATGGAGGAAGGCTGCTTTGAAGCGATGGAGGCAGCCATAGTCTCCATGCAGGTGTGTACATAGCATTATTTCATCATGTGTACACAACCGTTAACTGGCATATGGCGGCCGGTTACGGGGCTCCGAACAAAAGCCAAAGGACACAGCATTTAAAGCCACGAGGACAAAGGAAAATGACTCCGGTAGAAACAGGGAGGGAGGATTGTTATTAATTGGCCTGTCAGTGGTGATTTGTATTCAGAGGAGGGAGCTGCTGCTGATGCTGCTGCCGCCAAACTGCGTCCATAAGCAGAAAAAAGAAGATGTATGCGAGGTGTGTTGAATTATTGCCCTCTGAGACGTATTAAAATAGTAGTCAACATTTCCCCTTCAAGATCAAACTGATGCATCAAATGAAAACCACACTGACCTTACAGCCGCGTTTGTCTCATCCCAGCCGGGTCGTCCCTGGTCGGAGCACCGTGGGAACCCAATTCTCAGGTGAAATGTTCAGATCAGACGCAGACAAACATCTCAGGACCGATGCGATTCCGAACCGCGAACACTTCATCTACATTAGAACGGATCCGGCTGTGGCTGTGACTGACTGTGGCTGTGGGTGTCGCGGGTTGTCCGGGCTGGGCGCAGTGAGCTGGGAGGGATGGAGACTCCGGGAGAACAGGGAGGATCAGGCAGGGAGGAGGGGTGTGAAGAGGGAAAAGTGAAATCCAACAGACTACGCGCTAGAGAAAGAGGGCTGGATTATAGCATCATCCTGCCTTCACCCCGAGGAGAGAAAAAAAAAAAAAAAAATAACAGCTCTCAGCGTTCATGGTTTCTTCCCTGAGGCAGCACCAGCTCACAAATGGATCCTTTACGCTTCGATCACGACAAAAGGAGAAGATCAGAGACCGATGACCTGAGCGAAACTGGACCCCTACCTCACCATAACAAATACATTTATTACCCTTTTTAAAAAATAAATAAATACACAAGCACCAGATGTATATATGGTTTATTAAAAAGCACTCGTGTGCCGCCAATGGGTCACAACACCACACTACAAAAACAGAAAATATATTTACAAAAAAAAGCTTTCATAGTATCTGTACAATATACATGGGTTGAAAAACAAAAATCATTTCCCCATTGCACTCAGGATGTTTGCCTGCAAAATATAGAACAAAAGATTAAGACCATGACATTGCTACAGAAATCTAGCTGCCTGCAATAGGAGTCATTTTGAAAAGGCAGAAGCAAGTATCATTACTGTAAAGAGGAACATTTGTCTCACCTTCATAAAAGTGGAAAATCTCTTTTCTGTCATTCCCTCCACTCTCGTCAGATCTTCCAACTGAAAAAGAGCAAATCACATTGCTGCTGTGTGGGTGGCTGAATACAACGTCAGCCATGTTTTACACATTTATTCATTTCTCCCAACCAACCTTTGTGAAGTGACCATGAATCTCCCTCCAGCCCAGAATAAGCTTTGCCTTCTTGTCACCAATCTGCTGAAGCCCTTTCAGCTCTTTGAGGCAGCCACTATTTAGAATGTGCAGGATTTTCTGTCTGGACACTTCCAGCACAGATGTATCCAGCTGGGACTCCCAGGAAATCTCCGAGTTCTCTTTACCATCTGGGGGCTGAAAAACTCAATTAGGACGCATGCAAGGCAGACAAACCCATTTTTAAAACTGTCAACATAAATTCCATCTGTATTTTTCAAGGTCAAACAGAGGCTCTGACCCATAAAGTTGAGATCCTGCAGTTTGTTTACAAAAAAAAGAAATGCAATGCCCTACGTCAGCTAGTATCTGATGCTTGTAACTGCAAATGTGTCAAGCTAAGCACACCACCGTCAACGCTCGGATGCTGACCTCGACCAGGTCTGAAAGCTTCTTCTCTCTCTTCTTGACACAGACTGACTGTTTTTTGATGACTGCAAGCTGCTGAAGAGGCTGGACCTGGGACACTGGGGGAGAGAATGCACGTACACATGAAGCCTTCCACTTGTCCGACCAGTTATTCATTCTCAAAAGAAACAGCTGAGATTTGTTTCACAGCCAAAAGCATGAGCTAGACAAAGTTTTCTGGATCCCCCCCACAAGCTGCTGAGGAGTGTAAAAATAATTCTTCCTCATCGTCATTTGATATCGCCCCTGGCTAAAGCATTGAGGGTGAGCTCATGTATCACTTTGCTGCTCAATACCTCCATTGAATGATGATGGAACTATATAGCTACAGCTAACAAAAAAAATAAAGAAAAAAGGATTACACAATTTTGACATTTTCTGCATTTCACTACTAACTTATGGCAGTTAGAGACGTGTCAGACATATAGTTTGTCCACCCTAAATAGTAATGACAGAATTCTAAACTAATTTCTTGATGGAAAGAAGAAACCAGTTTTAAAAAGGTGACTGATCTTTTCTAACTGACCTTGCAGGGGTTGGACAACAGCCTGCTGCTTCTTGGGTTTCGCAGCATTTGACTGTTTTCTCTGCAGGGGGGCCGAGTTGTTCCTGAAGACAGGCTCCTCTGTTTCACTAGACTTTCCTTCTGCCAACTGACTAAGAAGCATGGCCTTGTTTTCAAACTCTCTCTGCTTCTCTTTGAGCTCCTGCAAAAAAATATCAGAATAAAATAAAAGAATTCCAAGACTGGTGGACCAGAGCAAAGATTAAACATCAGTCAGAGCCGTGCTGTAGGTGCATCTTTACCTGGATCTCTCTGCGGGATTGCGCCACATCTTTAAGCACACTCTGTCTGTCTTTGTCCTGGCAACTCATCATTAGTTTCTCCAGAGCTATTAGCCTTTCCATCACAGATGGCTCTGACAAACTGAAAGAAAAAATAAAAGAAAAAAATAATTCAAATACATGAGGAAAAGAAAGTTCATTAAACTCAGAAGGTTGTTTATGCCAACACATACAGATCAATACACCCCATAAAGAGCATAATCTTTTTCAACCAGCAGCTGTAACTGAAGGGAGAAGCTTCCCCGTCAGCACAAGCTCTAATAAAAATGTCAAAAAAGAAAAGAAAAAGTTCATGGTGGTGTGAGGCCTTGGCCTGTTTAAGCTGCTGTTGTCTGGATGAGATGCATGAGAAGACATTTAATTCGACCCAACAAAATTGAAAGGAAATATTTTCTCAGTCAGAAATCACAGCTCTGATCATTTTCATTTGAGAAAAGAATGATAAAAAAATAAAATGTAAAAAAAATCGCCTAGTGTGTGCAGTCCAACCTGTGGTGGTGAGCTGAAGGGGAGGAACCATCCTGTTCGGGCCTTTTCTCGTCTTTCTGCTTCTTCTTGGTTGGCTCAGCACCAGGCCCCCCCGACCCACGCTCTTCTCTGGCTCGCTTCACTGGAAATATGACAGCGGGAAAGTCACAGTTTGGTATTCAGCACAGTGAGATCCTTGGGTGTAAAAAAAACTTGGAGGGTAGCACAGCTTGATTCAAGGTTGTGGCTGCATGGTAGCTATGGAAACAGCAACAAATGTACAAGACTAAACTGTAGGAAGGATGTTAGCCTTCAGGCTTGGCTTTCATCCTGTTGGATGTGACATGAGCGCCCCCTACTGGCTACTTGATCAAATCCTCAAAGCTGCCTTTTCATTTGAATCTTTTAAAAGACATTTCACATGGGAAACATTTCATTTTGCCCCCCCTCACCCAGCATCACTCACCTGGCAACATAGGCATGGCTACAGTTTCACGTGTGAACGGCTTGTTCACAATGAGCTTGGATTTGGCTGCAAAGTTCAGTGCACTAAAGGTGTCGAAATAAAACTTGTACTCTGGTGCAATGTTGGTGATCATGACGGAGTGTGCCGAGCCCCCCAAAGAATCCTGCAGCAGCCGTGTGAGTTTACTGTCTCTGTATGGCACACGGATGGATGTGCCAGAGTTAAGCGAGTCCACCACTTTGCTGAGGGTGAAAAGGGACAGGTTGATGGCACCACTTTCTTTCAGACGGATTCCTTGGTTGCCAGTGCGACGATTGTCCTCAGAACCAGCCAAATCTACCAGGTACAGTTTGCCCGTCTGTTGTCGGAATGGTAAGGTCTTCTGAGTCCGCACGACCTAGATGAAAAGATCAAGGTTTAAGCAAAAGTCATGGGGCAAAGGAATAGTTAAGGGATAATAAAAGCAAGTTATCAAAAGGATCACACTTTACAATACATGTAACAAATTATATAAATATTTGTATTAAAAAAAACTGTATCTCTCTGTGTAGACCCAAATAGCTCAGATGCACTAGTGGGAAAGTTCTCAGAGAGAATTGATCTTAGCACCAGCTACCAAATCCTGGTCTACTGCTCAGAGACCACGACCTGTTTAAGATGCTGTTGGACCATGGACTGGCATCAATACAGAACATACATATAAACTAACTCTGGATGATATATAAGCAGCTGGATCTGTCAGACCTTGATCAGCAGGATAGCGTGACTGCGACTGGAGCGCTGGTTTAGTTTGGTAGAAGCTGTGGTACGATTGAGGGTGGCAGGAACAAAATGCTTATCAAAGTCTGCGAAAGAGGTAATGGTTGTGTGGGTGAGGCCTGGGATAAGAATATTCTTGTCCTTGTCCTCTCTGATGGGCAAATCTTGGGAATTTGGCAAAAGAAGGTCCAGGACCTGAGAATAGAAGAGTAAAGTTCAGTTTACACAATGTCACAACACATCAAGGAGATCAAATAACGGGTGTGATCACTTCCATCACTCATTCAGGAGCAATGAAATACGACACTCTGGTGGACATGCATTTTTGCTTGGTGGGCATAGTCCCAAAATAAATCACAGGACCACATATAGCCCTTATGGTGCATTTCAAGTGGAGGGTCAAGAACTAACTGGCAATCCCACAGAGAAAGGAACAGTAAATAAATCTTATAGTCAGCAGAGAAGCTGACAGCTCCAGTCTCAGTCCCCAACCCGAACCAGGATCTATGCTGAGCAACTGCAGAGCTAACGTGAAGCAGTCTTCACCATGGCAACATTTTCACCTATAAGACAACATTACGGCATGAATATCTACACTGGTGATTCAAAAGAGTCAGTCAATTATCAACTAATTGTTCAGTAGGGTTATTTTTATTTAAATGTGGATGAATAACTGTATTTATAGCTAAATATACAAACCTTCTCATTATAAATTTCCAGATAGGACATGCCAATCTTATAGTCCCAGCCTTCATCCTCATCCTTTGCATTGACCAGGTTAAAGACCTCACGAACGGCTCGAGGGATCACACCTGGCTGCTCTGCACTTCCCAACATGGTGTGGGTCTTGCCTAAGAAAGAAGACACAAAAAAGACCTTTAAAGTATTACAAACCTACTGTGCGAACATCTATACAATTAAGTGGGGGTAAAGGGGAAAACAGCAATTCATCTACCAGCTCCAGTTGGTCCATATGCAAACACACTGGCATTTTCTCCCTTCAGTATGTGCGGTAGAATGGGCTTCACCGATGACAGGAAAACCTCTTTCTGCGTTGTTTGCTCACCATGGAAAACATCAAAACTGTAAAAGTGACCAAAGTTTTTTTTCATATTGGACAGGGGTTAAATGTTTTCACAGCAACACGATCAGGGAGAACATTATGGCAACACCTACTGGTACTTGACCGTTTCTGTTGCATTTCTCCAGTTGATTATTTCCAGGTTTTGAGAGTCTATGCCTCTTACACACGGCCCCTCGGCTTTTTCGTCTTCTTTGACCATGTAGGGTCTCAGACGAACCGCCACTCGAATCCTAGAGGTTTTCTTGCTTCCACCATCTGATGCAGGCACCCGCTGAGCCATGTCCGAGATCTTAAAAACAACGGCCTGAGCAGGCCTGCAACACAAAGTAACCTGCGCTGTGAACGAAATTCATTTGTACAAAATCTAACAAACTTGTTCTCCCCAAGAAGACTTCTTGTATAAATTGAAACAAGGTTTCTGAAATAAAGCCATGTCAATCAAACAAGACTTCCACACGTTACGTTGATTCGTTCGACATCAAGTTAAAGATGGATTACATCAACGATACACTTACTAACCTAAAATAACAGTCCAGAATAAGGATAAATACTTCCTTTGAAATTAAAAAGTGTACACTTACCTTTACTAACACAAAAAACTTCGTGTATGAGTCTTATTTGTTATTGTCTTTGCTCAACTTTTAGCAACTTTTACAACCACCCCTTTTAACAATGGCGGCCATGCCCTCAACTGGCTCCTAACTGAACACTTTTCAAACGAACAGCGACGCAGCCGGAAACGACTATCCACCAATCACAATGCACGCTCAAATGGCGCCTATTTGACGTATCTACACGATATTTATTATAGTTCCTATTTTTTAAACATGAATATGTTTCCAAACTATTCCAGACATGCTCATTACACCAAACACTTTATTTAAAAATCAAGCTAAATGTAATTTTAAACTTTACACTTTGTATGACTCGAGCCTAACTGCGAATGCGCAAAACACAGGAAGTAAATACATGCGTAGATCTCCACACAATCGATCTCCGGCAGCAAGGTTACACATCCCCCAGATGGATCCTCCGTGTAGTTTTTAAATCCGCATACAGGAATCAAGCCGCTCGTCACACAGACGCTCCAGCCAAAATGGCGCTATGTTTACGTTCCTGCATAACGATTTGTCATACTTAGTAACCCTCATGGCGAGCTCCGGCAATTGTTTCGCTAGTATAATACTTTGACCTAACATTTCACCACAGGACTACCGATCCACGGCACACAGGCGATAATAATTAAAGGCACGTATATTTATTAACTAACGTTCGGTAAGAAGTAGCTCATGATTAGCATTGCTAGCCTGATTGAAATTTCCAGAAGATATTTTCCTATATTACCCATTGACTGTTACTCTTACAGCAGTATTAACATGTATAGCTACGCTGGTTATTTTCTGGCGTCAAGGTATTCTTGGCAATCTCACAAGTACCTTTTTGTGTTTCAGCACACGCTCCCGTTTTTCCAGTAAGGTTCAGTTGTACTAATGTTATGTTATACCATTATACTGTAGCTACAAATGATTGTAAAACTGTTAACAGTGATTGTAAAACTGTGCGACTTGTGTTCTGCAGATCCGTGACTGTAAAGTTCACCAGCAGCAAGAAGGATGCAGGCTGAAGTCACAGACTCTTCTATCAGAGAGGGCATAGACGCTCTGGATGTTAAGGACTCAGAAAAAGCTGAAGCAAATAAAGAGGAAGAGGGAACTACAGAGGCACAGGACACAGAGATGACAGCTGCCAAGGAGGAGGACCACTCAGCAGCTAAGGAAGAAACGGGTAAGGGAATATAAAGACGAGATGGACCATCAATTGGAGTCTAAGTAAAACAGAATGTGGGTTCTGAAATCAGGAAATACCACAAAAAAAAATAACTTCTGGATTTGAATCCCTTTTCAGGAAGCACACTTCTGTTATTTGATAAACTCGACATTTTTGATGAAAGATCGCTTTCAGTTAAAAGAAAAAATATTAGATTTAATTATTCCTTTTTAAGGAATCTAATAGGCCTTATATGTTGTGAATACAAAAGTATTTAATCCTTTTCCTTTTCTCACAGGCTGTTGTCCTATTGCATCAAAGGATAAGCTATGCAGGAAACTTAACCATTCACCTTAGACTCAATTTATATTTTTCCTTCAACAAAATGAAAAGAGGTTTCAGAGTCTATAACTATGTAATAAGGCAGTAATCCACTCAGGCAATATATTTAGAGAATCTGCCATAAATCTAGCCCTCTTCCTTGTTCTTACAGTATAAACTTGACTTTTTGGATTTCATGCCATCTTCTCAGATGGGAACACGGATGCTGCAAACGGAAAGGCAGCGACTGAGGACCCTCAGGCGGACATAAGGGCGGGTGCTGAAGACGAGAAGGAGGAGGTGGACAGTAAATGGGAGCTTCCATACAGCGATGAGGAAATGGAGGACCCCAATAACTGGATGCCACCTCCTTCTGAGATCAAAAGACTCTACGAGCTCCTGGCTAAAGGAGAAATGCTGGAACTGAGCTTCGTGCCCCTCCCAAGAAGGCCTCCCACACCCGAACGCTCCCCTTCACCTGAGAGAGACGAAGAGGAGGACGCGGTGAAGGAGAGGGAGAGGCAGGAAAAAGATTGCAAGTCAGTATTTCTTTTCTCTCTGGTCATTTCTTGTTTGTTCTTCAGGCTTGTCGGTTAAAATCAGCTTCATGTTTTCCTTTTCCCCAACTTTCTTCCAGACCTCCAACTCCAACTGAATTTGACTTTGATGAGGAGCAAATGCAAGCAACTCCCAAAAATGCCTTTATCAACAGACGCAGAACACCAGGTGCAACACATAACACATTAACCCCACAGTGCCCGGCTCTTTCTTTCCTCTGGACTCATCTTTTCTAATGAATAAAATGTTTCTCCCCCTCTTCCAGGATCTTCAGCCCGCTCCTCCGTGAAAAGGGAAGCTCGCCTGGACAAAGTGCTGTCGGACATGAAGCGCCATCGGAAAATCGAGGAGCACATCATGCGCACGGGACGAGATCTCTTCAGGACTGACAAGAAGCTGGAAGAAGCTCTATCCCCAAACAGTCAGAAGGAGCGGGAGAAGGAGAGGGAGCGAGATCGAGACCCCAACACCATCTTCTCCCCGAGACAGAGGAGATATTAAAGTATTTAAAGAGGAGGACTTGCCCGGAGGCAAACGAGTCAGAGAGCTCGTCAAGACTGGGCTCTCGCAAGACTTGAATTTTTTTAATGTAACAAGTTTTGTATGTTTTATGTGTTTTCTATGATGGCAATAAAAGTTTTAACCCTGGAAAATTTTGACCTGTTGTTTGCAGTATGTTCTGGAGCCGGCGGAAGATATTTCTGACACCATGAAGGAATCATTAGGCATGTTAGTTATATATGAACACGATTATAGGGCAGATTTGTAGCTTTAATTTGAGGCTAATCACATCCAATCTGTACTAAAAGTTGGGAAATAAGGTTGATAGTATGTACAAGTTTTTTCTCTAAGACTGCATTATCAGCAGAATTCTTGGTGACACCTCATGTTTAAAAAGAGCATGCACTAATGGATAGTTTAATCCCTTCTTTTCATTTGGTCAGAAGTGAATGTTTTTCTATTTGTCCAAAACACTGTTTAAGACTTTAATCCATTCATAACACCTAATGATGAACCCTATGTGCTTAGTTTTCTCTTGGATAAAGGTAGACCTATCCTCTGAAGTGCTTTTATAATTGGCTGCTCGTGGTGAAGGGAGGCTTTTCCATAAAAAGTATCCACCAATTTTCCACCATCAAAGTGTTCAGCTGTGAGTTTTCCTCTCTTCTTCCTTAGATTGCACAACATGGTTGTCTCCCGTAAAGCTTCACTCACAACTGCCAATAACTATGACCACACCTAGCAGGATGTCTGTCCCTTTTAGCCTGGCAACATTTCCTCTTTTTAAACTGTCTGCACATCAGTTAATTGATTAGAATGCATTATGATTCTCATACACTGAACTGGACCCTGATGTGATTGGAAGTAACTAGAGATTACACATGTTCTGATTCATCTGAATATAAATAAACCTGAATTTAATTTTGGCTGTAGTGTTGAAATCTGGTAAAAGGCATGTGTGCTTCAAAAGTATATATGGTGTGCAACTTTTAAGCTATGTAATTTATTTCACCAAGAGTCAACAAAGAGTTTAAAAGTTTATTTCTAAACGCTTAAAATGGGAGTAGTCTGTGTGTTGTCTGGCACCCTCTTCTGGCTCACCGGACTATTAAACTGCGCCAAGATCCCACACTTAAACAGATACAGGCCATCTGAACCCTGATAACATGTAATACACATTGAACCAGACTACGAGGACCTTAAAATCTGATGATCACATGAAAAAAACAAACCGACTCAAGACAGGCTGAGGACATAGAAGTATATTTTCGCTAAATTTGAGTAACAATACAGCCTTCATGTAAGGCTCCGAAGCATAGAGTATAATATGTATGCATAAATATGCATTCAAAAATCACAAACCAAATAAATAAATAAATAAATACTTACAAATAAATAACAAGCATTTTGTGGAATATACAGTACATCAGTTGAAATGTTTCAGTATTGTCAAGAAGCAGTACCTTATGAATCCATGGAGCAGGGGAATGGATATTCTGTGTACGACATGCCCACAGCTGTCCAGATGCTTTGGCACACACTACCCTGTCTTGATGGGGTGTTTTTTTTTCTTCCCTCCAGCTCTTTTAGATGACTATTTTCTTGACCCATTTCCAGGACACTGTAGCTGCATTACATAAATGATGATTAAAGAAAACAACCCAAAAAGTGTCTCGATGATGGGGGGAATTTCATATACTGTGAAAAGGGTTTATTAACCAATTGAAATAATGGCTTTAATTTGGATAGGTGTGCAGATTTTCAGTCACTAGGGGGATGCTGCCCTACGAGATAATATCTTTGCTTCCCTTAAAACATAAACAGTGCGTCCCCTAACAAAGCCAAGACACGCTGAAATCTCATCGATCCCTTTGTGAAATATTCCTGCCACACAATTGGATAAAACGCCATATTCAACGGGACCAAAGTAAAAAAAAAGAAAAAAGAAGAACTTTTAAGAGTACTTCTCAGCAGCCGTATGCAATATTTATTTTAAAAATAGCGACACCAGAGAGTGGAATGGAGTAACATCTACACTGAAACGAGAACCACTGAGAGTCTTGAGGTGATGGCACACGCCAAGCGTTAAAACTGTGAAATGATTTGTATGTCTTTCAGGTAGTGTTTGTGTTAAAGATGTAGAACTGTATGAAAATGTAATGGTTTGAAAGACTACTCAGCCAGAGGGCGACATTCTGACCAGAGCAGCAGAGAATAACACAACTAATGATAATGTTGCATCCTCCTCCAATGTGAAACAACAACGTGAGGTTATGTCTAACTCTTCACCTGTGAGGGAATAACTGCACCTAAAGACAAGTGATGGGAGTGTTTCAGGAAAAAAAAAGCTAAAAAAATGTTTCTAAAAATGTCTCGTAAATCTCTCTCCTAAAAAATGATTTTTTCCTTTATCCCAATCTTACATTTGTGACAATTTTTATGTAAATTTCATATCAAAATTGTGTCCTGCGTGTTTTTTTCTCTTAAATGAGGAGGGGCCCTAATATGCACTCATAGAAATTGGACAGAACCTGAAAAAATAAAATCATCATCAACATAATACTGACATGGAAAGGACAACTTCACATCTGCTATGTACAACCATCACAGGAAAGCCTTTTTTCCTTCTGAGGATAAGAACAAATTAAAGTGGAAAGAAACTGCAAACAACGGGGGAAACGGGATAAGGCAGCAGAATACAGTATTATGACATTATCTTCCTTCTAAAGATGAGTCAGTCTGCGGGTTGGTTACATTTTGTTAGAGTGACAGTGACTACATAGAGGATACAGATAATAAACACTAACAAGTCAAAATACTGCTTAGCTGGGTTTTTTTTTCTTTCCTTTTTTGTTTTTTTGAAGGTCTTCTTCGTCACTAAACTGAATCAGGCCTTCCGTCTACAGCAAACATACTAACATACAATATAATACATTCCAAGTTTCCTACTCTTCCTGTACAGTGAGGCAGAGAGGACTGTATTTGATCTACAGGAGGGAAATAGCCACCTATGCCCGCTATACATCCAGGCAAGTTCCTGTCCGGTCAGTGCATGTTGCTATCTGTCACAGTGCCAGATGACATCTTAAAATACTGAGAGCCCCAACACTCGTTTCCCTACAAACTAAAAAGCTGAAGTAGTTGGAGGCCAGCCACAGAAATCATTAAGCTGTTGGCTGGCTGCAAACACTTCAGCGTTATTAGAGGCCGACTTCTCAACTCCTTTTTTCAAGTCTTGCTTTTCCCTCATTGCTTTCCTTCCTTTTTACATACTCATTGGTACATTCGCCTCCCTGCCTTCCCCGCCCTCCCCTTCCGCCGGACTCTCCTCAGTGAGAGGCCAGCTCAGGCTCCGCTGGGCGCGTGCTGTAGCCGTTGGCGGGCTGTGGCAGTGCGCTGCCGTCCGTTTGACTCTCCTTAGCAGCGGCTGTGCTCGCACACGGTCTCTGAGAGCGGGAGGTGCCCTTGAACAGTCGGAGGGCACCCCTGCAGATAAGGGAGAACCAATAGAGCTGGGGGGCCATGAGCAGAGCGGCACCCAGGTTACAGTGCCACGGCACCCTCAGGGGGACCATATGGAAGGGGATGGACGCGTACCTGGATCCAAAACAGAGGAAGCATCGAGAGGCGTAAGCGTCACGCCTGCGCCTGCTTTTCCACAGACTAAGTGTGAGTGTGAGTTAATGGCCCCGGCTCAGTGAGACAGCAGAGCAGAGACAGAGAGAAAGACATACCTTCCATAGACGTAGTAGAGGTAAGGGAAGAGTAGGACTCGAAAGATGAAAAAAGTGATCAGCATAAGAGCCCCATTCACTTTGTGCAGCAGAGTATGTTGCTGTTTGTACTGAGAGAGGGGGAAAACAGAGAGGGAGAAAGAAAAGCAAGCAGTACAGTTCTGTGAAAGTAGACAACGTTCATGTCCTTAGTCAATGTCATCATGTTACTCTGAACACTTTACAATTGTTAAGACATACTGAAGTGGGGGGGGGGTGAACTGAGAGCACAGTGGAGCAAAGTGCTGCTGGGAGGAGGGTGGATTTCTAAAGGCAGCAGAGGAGCAGTACCAGTGTGTTTTTACATTCCCTTTGAATGTTTATCTCAAACAGCTTCACAGTGAAGGTACTAATCACAACTGTGCACACATGTCTTTGTTGAGAAAGTATCGGGCTCATTCACTGGTGTTAAAGCTCAGAACTACAAGGTGTGCAAAGAACAAATGCCCTTTTGTTTTTAATGTTTTGTTCCGTTTGGTTTTTTTCTTTCTGTAAGAGGGGAACTCTACAAGGGCACACCTTTTGTTAGTTATCAGTTGGCCACATGCACTGTTTGGGTAGGGCAGGGTGCTAAGTGACAGAGGGTGAAAGGACAAACTGACATTGTATCGACTGATTATCCAGTCTTAATACTGAGGGCTATATTCAGAGGCAAACAGCTGCCTCAGCTGGGGTTACAAGCACCAAGCAATAGGGGGTTTCAACCTTCACAAAAGCACTCAAACACTGCACACAGATCCACACAAAATCTCAGCAAATACAGAGAGGGATGTGACTCCAATAAAGGCCAACCAGGCTGTGTTACCAATTCAAGACTGATGTTTGACACTGTGGTTCATGTAAGACACCGATGGGCATGAACAAGCTGCGTGCTGGGATTAGCTGGAAATGTGCTCTCCAATTAATTAAAAAGGGTGGGGGAAAAAAAAATAGAGAATGCGGACAAACTTTTGTGAGAAACGTGCACATGCAATGATGCACTGAAATCTTCTCTGAGGCTGATTTTACATGCTTACCTGTATGAGTATTTTTCCTAAGCAGACAGATGGAGTGCTGAGCTCAGCCATGAACATTATACCCTGGAAATAATCTCCTTTTCCTTGCCGCCAGAACTGCAGAGAGGAAAAACGGGCTGATTATGTTACGTGACTTCAACGGCAGCTGCACCTCTTTGGTGAATTTTAGGAAGGTTTTCAGTTCAAATGCATACCAATGTCCTCATTGTTAAAATGACATATGTCAGTGACATTGGAAGCTGCAGACACATACTTCAGTGTCTCACTTTTTTTCTTGTCCCGCCCAAATCCAAGCTCAACTTGAAGAGCAACAAGTGACAGTTACCACAGAGACAGGGAAGCAGACGGTGACCATGACAACGTGGTGCAGAACCATGAGGAACTCGCGGCGCAAGTAACTGGTCAGGGCAGAGCTCATGTGCTGGGGTGCTGCCGAGGCCTCCTCGTGCCCTTTGACCCGCAGCTTGTACCAGTAGCACATGAACATTGCGTAGATGTCGTACACAAAGTAGGGGACAGCAAACATGATGTAAGTGCTAGTAAGCCAGTGCCTGTGTAGAAAGGAAGAGAGAAAAAAAACAGGTCCTAATTTAGAGCTATGATTAATACCATGAGCGCACTTCTATAAGGTCACACATATTTGTATGTAAAATTGTTTACAGAGCAGTTTTACCACTAACACAAAAAAAAAAAGACTCAAAAGGGAAATCCTATCATCATTTAATGAACAAATTCAACTTCTCAAAAGCAATGGCTTTGCATTCAAATCCAGATGATCTATTACAAGAAACTTTGAGGCTTGAGAGCTTCAGTGTGGGTCACTTTAAAGCCTGATATTACAATTCCCGTCAAGCGACATGTTTTGCACCGCAAAAGAAAAAGGCAGGCTACTCAAATAGAGCAAAACACACTCACTGGTCCTCAATGATGTCCTCGCAGGAAGAAGCAATGATGTAGCCAGCTGAGGAAGCCATGACTGCCTGAACCGATGACACCAACCTAGAGGCAAAACAACAAATCCCGTTTTCTTTCCCCCAATTGGCCAATGAGGTGACAGTCAAACATAACACAGCTGCAGCCACAAAAAAGGAAAAAACTAACAAAAACCACAAACAAAACAGCAGCAAATCTTTAAAAAAAAAGAAAAGAAAAACTTTATGAAATCTGCTTATATAACAATGTTTTAGGGAGCATGGTGAAGCCAATGAACGGAGCAAGTGCGAAAAATAAAGTTTGAAAAGACCAGACATAAGGAAAAGGCCCCAGAGGGTATAACCTGGCTGACACGATGACTGCGTCTCCTTCGCTCCATCTCAGCGCGGGGATGGACTTCAGACACTGTTTGGACAGAAGGAAAAGGCCTGGAAAGAATACAGACCCAGCAGCCAAGATGGACAGCATGGTCCCAGGCGATCTGACTGAGAGGCAAAAAGTACGGCAGGCAATCTGGTCCTTGAGATCCGTCACTCTCTGTCCTCTCTGGAAAAACACAGACCACCACAGACCGAATGAGAGTTTTACACTGATCTCACCGCAGGCTACTCCCCCGTGTATACGTCTGGCTGCAGTTGCTGAGATAACGACAAAAGGGTACTTATCAAAGTCCAACACACGTGGCTGTACATTACTCAAGCTAAGGAAACTGCTGACGTGGTGCTTATTGAAAGCAGGGAGGCTCAATACATCTATGCAATTTTCAGAACCTTTAAGGAAATTTGAGTCATTTTTTTAGTGGTTAGCTTTAGAGTTGCTGCCTCTTTGAAGGGAAAAGCTTTATTCTGAGAACCTGAGCACCTCAGGAATGTTTTTACTCAGAATTTCGTGACATTTTCCAGGTTACTCATCATTCTCTCAATCACTGTTGTAGACAATTAACAATTGTCTTGACAAATCATTCTACAATCAACATGATCCTTAATCTGGTGAGGATCTGAGCCCCTTTTCTACACACATGCTGCAGAAACTGTAGTCATCACAGCCTGAAAAAACTCACTAGTCCTGGAGCAAATTCTCAGCTGGGCATCTATGTGCTTCCTCAGTACTAAATGCTGCAATAATGGTTTTCTTTCAGCCCCAAAAAGATCTCTTTTGTGGTGACCACTGGGTTCTTAAAGACCAACTCATTTTCTTTAGTATGGTTAAGCAGCGGGCTCTGAGAATACTTGTTAGATGTCATTACATTACTAAAAGGAATGCATTAATCCAAAGCTGATTGAAGAAGGGGATCAAACCAACTACCTCTTGTTTGAAAGACAACTACTGAGCTACAGCCTCTCTAAAAAACTTTTTTTTAAAAACTAAAACTCCTCCGTATGAGAATGATGGAGGCTTCCAAGAAAGTCTTGTGTTATAAGCTTTGTGGTGTCATTTGACTGGACACAATTTTGTCTTGAAGCCACAACATTTCCTCAACACTACAGCTTTCACCAACATCTACCATCAACTGCGGGATACTGTGCCATCCCGGGTTGGGCCTGTTCTGCACAGCTCAAATTAAGCTGGACCACTCAGGTTGTACCAATCATAATTAAAATGCAACCAAGAATAACTAGAACGCTTCCACAAAGGAAATCGGTCTATGATCCTCACCCTTCAACCTCAAAAGGAACCCACCACCGTAACCCCTGTGCTGAAGGACATAAATAAACAACAAACTTTAAAGTATCTATGAACATCTCAGAATCGTGGACAGCTTAAAGGTTGTGAACACGTTGAGAATGCTCAATTTGGTAAGGGCGAGATTCCTATTGTCACACGGTGGGCCTTTCGTGCTTCATCTGTCCGTCGGCCGTTAGTGACCTGGCCGTTTAGTCCTATGGCAACCATGCTGCGCTACCATGCGGCTTTGCTTACACCGAGCTAGCTGACTCATTAAAAAGCACAAGTCCATTAGCAAAATACGCAATGCGCTATTTTAAAATCGTGAACGTCGAAAATATCGACATTTAATTGACTGCTGGTACTCACTGCCTCACACACCAACGTCAGCCGATGTCACCTGGCCGTTAAAAAAAAAGTTCCAGGCTGAGTTTTGGAGGGGGGCTTGACAATTAAGTAAACCGAAAACGGTTAGACGCTGAAACAGCGGTGGGGATTTAGACGTGGGTTATTCAAACTGTCGATACTTCAATTTAAACATATCTTAAACAATTAAGCTTTACTGCACAACAGGAAGTCTGAGAACGCATATGTCCAAAATGCTTGGAACTTAACTGACGTAAAGCTAGCTATACTTTAGATTTTACCTATAAAATGCACCTGCTAGTTAAGCTACCTAGCAACAGGGGGCTACAGGTAAGTCAGTGCAAATTAAGTGACACGGCTCTGTGCTGTGGGAGGAAAGAACGAGGCCAGGCAGCAAACAGGACTGCCGCTAGTTGAACAGAATAATGTTGCTAACACAACATGCCGCCCCTCGTCTTGGTAAGCACGTTCAACTCAACTGTCTGAGCAGTAGAATCACCTGCTAACAATGACACCACGGTCGCTAGCATTAGCAAGACATGTAGCTTTAGCAGTTAGTGGACTGCTTGGCTATCCCCAAATACACAGAACCTCAGTTAGCAAGATGATGACACCCAAGAAAAAAGAAAGCTTGCAGCTGAATGCATCGCTTTCCACGTTTTGTGACAGATTTGCTAACACAATGCATAGAGGTTAAATGGTTTTGCGGCTTGTTTTTTTTTTGTTTGTAGCACTTAGCAGGGGCAGCTAAGTCAACCGATCACGTAAGCGCTAACCATTGCTAACGGATCGGAGTTTGCACATGTTTAGAATAGATATCAAACATTTACACAGCAGCTCTGCAGAGTCCAGTCAGCGGCCAGTCAGAAGTCGTGTCCTGCAGGAAGCGTTTAAAGATATCCCAGGGGTCTCGGCCTCGATGATCCGCATGTTTATGTGGCCACTTCAATGCTTTAAGGGGGAGCAGCAGCGAGCTAACGCTAGCTTGCAGCAACTTTGATCAAAATCTAAGTGAGGGCAGGCAAGCTCGCTGAGGGCATCGGTGAACGGCTTGGTCGGCGGAAGCTAATAGCGTTATCTAACTCAAATAAGTTGAACCGGTTTTTTAAAAAAAAAAAAAAAAAAAAAAAAAAAAAGACAAGGGCACAATCTGCTCCAGATGTCAAACGCAACGTTAGCCGATGCTGTCGCTAAGTCATCTCCCGTCTGGCCCCAGCACACACGCCGCTGCCTCAGCCTCCCAGATGCGCCGTTCACTCAACACCGTGGACCGCTGCGCCAGCTAGTTCCTACAAGTCCACGCACAAGCCCGTGTCATGACGAGAAAATGTCACAGCCCCCCTTTCTCTGTAATTCAGCGAATCCTTCGGCGTTGCTAAACGTAGTAAAAAAAAATAATAAAGCAGCAATCCCGCATCTGCCTCAGCTGGCGTCTGTGTCTGCGTTCATCTGCAAACGATCCGCTCCTAAATCCACCCATTTACACCGAGGCGGAGCCAGACACGAAGCCCACCGGGGGCACAGGTCCCGCACAATCATGGAATTTGCTAGATGATATAACAGGAGCTCACCCAGGGCCACCCGTCGGACCTACTCCTGGAGCTATAATCTACCTGGAAAACGTATAAATGAAGATGCATTGTGGCACTTTATAATGAAATGGCTCAGCATCTTTTTAGACACAAAAGCAGATGTGTGTTCATGCAAATAATAACTCATGCAAGATGCCATTGGTTTTATTTTCACAAGAAACATAATGTGAATTCAACCGACCATTTGAGGTATTTTTTATTCAATATTCCCTTTAAAAAGTTGCCATACCCAAGCAACCTGAGGCGAAGTGTGTTTCCAACTCAAAAATGGAGGTGGCATGATTCACCACTTGAATGAATATCATAAACACACAAAGGCTCTGAACGGCCACACCCCACTCCTCATTCAGTATGCTATGGTGAAGATTTTGGAAAGTGCAATAAAAAAAAAACACATTTCAGGTCTAAACTAGAATTCAGTGAGAAAAATCAGTTATGTACTGTGACACACAGCTCTTCTACAAGAACAGGAGCACTTTTGTTCAAAGTAGAAAAGCTCATTGACAGACCAAAAAAGGGGAAAGAATTCCTTTTAGATTTGATAAAAATCTTTGTATTTTAACAGGGAGGCATAAAATCTGCAAAAAGTGACTTTAATCATCTGATGTTTCTGCATTAATACCAAGTGATAAAAATGGTGATGTTTAATTTAGACCAAGGGAGACAAAAGATATCAAATAAGATTTTTTTATTGAAAATTATCCGTGGCATAATTTCAATGGCATAGCCATGCTAAGAATACTGTTATTTTTTGAAATGACAGACCAAGCAAAGTGAAATAAGAGCAGAGGAGTTGCATAGGAATCACCCTTAGTTTATTTTTATTGATTTTTTTACTGTTGAAATGATTTTGCCAATCTAACACTCTTCTTAAATGTGCTTTTGATGCTAAATTATGTCCATTTGTACAAATCTGACAACTACTTTACTTGGAATCATAATCTTAAAGATATTTTTTATACAAAAATAAACACCGATAACCTTTATTTGTGCCATGACACACCTGATATGTTTTTGTGAGGTCACACCTGTTATATTCCACAATCCATGTTTAATAAAGCTGGATGTTCACTGAGATGCTGTTATCAGATTAACTCAAAATAGCAGATTTTCACTTCAAAACATAAGTAAAAAGGAATTTAGAAATATATAAATGACCAAGTAAACTTCATTTATAAGATTCTTTTCATCTACTTTGAGGACTTATTTGAAAATCTTTAAGCATAAATTAGTCAAATTCTAATCAAATCATGAATTTTCATCAAATTGTTCAAACAGACTAGTTAAGTGCTCCATACATTTTCCATTTACCAATGAAGAAGTTGAGTGTGAAAGATTGTAACCACTACATTTTTCAAAGTATGTGACTTTACTTACAGTTTCCTCATTTGTAAGATTTTTTTAGTCCTAATGACATCCATCCCCTCCCTGGGCTGCCACCTTATCGTGGTGGAGGGGTTTGAGTGTCCCAGTGATCCTAGGAGCTATGTTGTCCGGGGCTTCAAGCCCCTGGTAGGGTCACCCAAGGCAAACAGGTCCTAGGTGAGGGATCAGACGAAGCGCAGCCCAGAAGACCCCTTATGATGAAAAAGGAAAATGGACTTCGTGTACCCTCGCCCGGGCGCGGGCTACCGGGGCCCCCCCCTGGAGCCAGGCCCAGGGGCGGGGCACCATGGCGAGCGCCTGGTGGCCGGGCCTTCACCCATGGGGCCCGGCCGGGCCCAGCCCGAAGAGGAGACATGGGTCCCCCTTCGCACGGGCCCACCACCCGTGGGAGGGGCCATAGGGGTCGGGTGCGCTGTGCCCTGGGCGGCGGCCGGAGTCGGGGATCTTGGCGGACTGATCCCCGGCTGCAGAAGCTGGCTCTAGGGACGTGGAACGTCACCTCTCTGGCGGGGAAGGAGCCTGAGTTAGTGTGCGAGGCGGAGAGATTCCGGCTGGACATCGTCGGTCTCGCCTCGACACACAGCTCTGGCTCTGGAACCAGCCTTCTTGAGAGGGGTTGGACGCTTTGCTACTCTGGAGTTGCCCCCGGTGAGAGGCGCCGAGCAGGAGTGGGCATACTCATTGCCCCCCATCTCGGTGCCTGTACGTTGGGGTTTACCCCAGTGAGCGAGAGGGTAGCATCCCTTCGCCTTCGGGTGGGGGGACGGGTCCTGACTGTCGTTTGTGCCTATGCGCCTAGCGGCAGCACAGAGTACCCACCCTTTTTGGAGTCCTTAGAGGGGGTACTGGAGGGTGCCCCCCCTGGGGACTCCCTCGTTTTGCTGGGGGACTTCAACGCTCACGTGGGCAACGACAGTGGGACCTGGAGGGGCGTGGTTGGGAGGAATGGCCCCCCCAGCTTGAACCCGAGCGGTGTTCTGTTTTTGGACTTCTGTGCTCGGCACGGATTGTCCATAACGAACACCATGTTCAAACATAAGAGTGTCCATATGTGCACCTGGCACCAGGACACTCTAGGCCGCAGTTCAATGATCGACTTTGTTGTCGTTTCAGCTGATCTGCGGCCGCATGTTTTGGACACTCGGGTCAAGAGGGGGGCGGAGCTTTCCACCGACCACTACCTGGTGGTGAGTTGGCTCCGATGGCGGGGGAGGATGCCGGTGAGACCCGGGAGGCCCAAACGTGTTGTGAGGGTCTGCTGGGAGCGCCTGGCGGAGTCCCCTGTTAGGCGGAGCTTTAACTCCCACCTCCGGGAGAGCTTCGAACACGTTCCGGGGGAGGCGGGGGACATTGAGTCCGAGTGGGCCGTGTTCCGCGCCTCCATCAATGACGCGGCCTCCCAGAGCTGCGGTTGCAGGGCTGTCGGTGCCTGTCGTGGCGGCAACCCTCGAACCCGCTGGTGGACACCGGCGGTGAGGGATGCCGTCAGGCTGAAGAAGGAGTCCTATCGGGCCTTTTTGGCCTGTGGGACTCCGGAGGCAGCCGATGGGTACCGGCAGTCCAAGCGACGTGCGGCTCGGGTGGTCGCCGAGGCAAAAACCCGGGCGTGGGAGGAGTTTGGGGAGGCCATGGAAAAAGACTTCCGTACGGCCTCGAGGCGATTCTGGTCCACCATCCGGCGTCTCAGGGGGGGGAAGCAGTGCCCCACCAACACTGTTTACAGTGGGGATGGTGTGCTGTTGACCTCAACTCGTGACGTTGTGGGTCGGTGGGCGGAGTACTTCGAGGACCTCCTCAATCCCACTGGCGCGTCCTCCGTTGGAGGGGCAGAGCCTGGGGATCCGGAGTTAGGATCTCTAATCTCCGGGGCTGAAGTCACCGAGGCAGTCAAAAAGCTCCGCGGTGGCAAGGCCCCGGGGGTGGATGAGATCCGGCCGGAGTTCCTTAAGGCTTTGGATGTTGTGGGGCTGCGTTGGCTAACGCGACTCTGCAACATCGCGTGGACATCAGGGGCAGTCCCGCTGGATTGGCAGACTGGGGTGGTGGTCCCCCTATTTAAAAAGGGGGACCGAAGGGTGTGTTCCAACTATAGGGGGATCACACTCTTAAGCCTCCCTGGGAAGGTCTATTCAGCGGTTCTGGAGAGGAGGGTCCGTCGGATAGTCGAGCCTCGGATCGAGGAGGAGCAGGGTGGTTTTCGTCCTGGCCGTGGAACGCTGGACCAGCTCTATACCCTCAGCGGGGTCCTAGAGGGTGCATGGGAGTTCGCTCAACCAGTCCACATGTGTTTTGTGGACTTGGAGAAGGCGTTCGACCGTGTCCCTCGGGGTATCCTGTGGGGGGTGCTCCGGGAGTATGGGGTACCTGGCCCCTTGTTACGGGCTGTTAGGTCCCTGTACGACCGGAGTCAGAGTCTGGTTCGCATTGCCGGTAGTAAGTCGGACTCGTTTCCGGTGGGAGTTGGACTCCGCCAAGGTTGCCCTATGTCTCCGGTCCTGTTCATAACTTTTATGGACAGGATTTCTAGGCGCAGCCGAGGTGTTGAGGGTGTCAGTCTTGGTGGCCTTAGGGTCGCATCTCTGCTTTTTGCAGATGATGTGGTCCTGTTGGCTCCATCAAGTCGGGACCTACAGCTCTCACTGGAGCGGTTTGCAGCCGAGTGCGAAGCGGCTGGGATGAGGATCAGTGCCTCCAAGTCCGAGACCATGGTCTCTCACCGGAAAAGGGTAGAGTGCCTTCTCCGGGTCGGAGCGGACGTCCTTCCCCAAGTGGAGGAGTTCAAGTATCTCGGGGTCTTGTTTGCGAATGGGGGTAGGGAGCGTGAGATCGATAGGCGGATCGGTGCGGCGTCTGCAGTAATGCGGGCGCTGTACCGGTCTGTCGTGATGAAGAGAGAGCTGAGCCTAAAGGCGAAGCTCTCAATTTATCGGTCGATCTACGTTCCCACCCTCGTCTATGGTCACGAGCTTTGGGTAGTGACCGAAAGAACGAGATCGCGGATACAAGCGGCCGAAATGAGTTTCCTCCGCAGGGTGGCTGGGCTCTCCCTTAGAGATAGGGTGAGAAGCTCGGCCATCCGGGAGGGGCTCGGAGTAGAGTCGCTGCTCCTCCACGTGGAGAGGAGCCAGTTGAGGTGGCTCGGGCATCTGTTCAGGATGCCTCCTGGTCGCCTCCCTGGGGAGGTGTTCCGGGCTCGTCCCACCGGGAGAAGGCCCAGAGGAAGACCCAGGACCCGCTGGAGGGACTATGTGTCCCGGCTGGCCTGGGAACGCCTCGGGATCCCCCCGGAGGAGCTGGCCGAAGTGGCCGGGGAGAGGGAAGTCTGGATTTCCCTGCTCTGGCTGCTGCCCCCGCGACCCGACCCCGGATAAGCGGAGGAGAATGGATGGATGGATGGATGGATGGACATCCAGGTACACAGAGATCAGATGCATGGAATTTGCTTTTGTCTGCAACTTAAAGGAAAAAAAACAGCAACCAAACATCCCAATCCTATTCTTCTATGTGGGTAACAAACCAAACGCCAAAAGAGTTCTTGCAGCTGATGACCCCGGTTCAGTGGACCCATGGGCCTCACACCAGCGGTCAGCGCTGGAATGAGATGACCGGTCGGTCAGAGCAGCTGCACAGTTCTGAGAAACGCTGCCGATTGCTCTCACAGATGTGAGCGCCCTCTTCCCATGTGTGAGCACCCCAGCTATACAGTGATTAGTTATTATTACCAATAATCAGCTTATAGAATTAAACTTTATCATTTAGACACAAAATTGTAAGAGAAAGTATTATTAGTGTTTTATGACATCTGAAAAACTATAGCTAAGGAATTCCTGTACGATGAATTGTGTACGTGCCAGTCTTACGGGTTTGTGACTGGGGCTTGAATGAACAGTTTTCAAAGCAAATGAAGCTTTTTAACTTCCTGTGTCGACTCTTTCCTCTCAGACTTTGTATTCAGTAGATGCTGCTCATCTTTCTTTGAGATACACACTGTTGGCCTCTCAAAACGAATAAATGATTAGCACACAGAACATTTCCTGTTTACTCTTTTTACTTTAAATTGTCCAAATTACAAAATAATACCATGATCTCTACTTCATCTACAAAAAAAAACAATATTTATGACTGTAGTAAGCATCGTTGATTTTTTTTTTTTGCTCTAACAACCTTTTAGACATGCATACTGTTGAGAAATATAAAAATATAAATATAAATACATCCCATTAATATTCTTAATGAATCAATGACTAAGATTTGAAATATTTTATCATAAAAGAATTAAAATGCAGTTGAGTACGATAAGGCATTAAGATGTATCACAAGAGCTGTACATAATCCTAGAGTAGAGGTATTATTATTCTTTTTTAGTGTGATGAAGAAGTCCTAAAATTAACTTGGAATAAATCACTAATTTTCTCAACAGGAAAAAAAGATTTTCAAAGAAACAAAAAAAGGGGGGAAATAAACAGCTCTACAAAGTTGAAGGTAACATATCAACACACAACTGAAAAAGCACTCCAGTACAAAACCAGGATTTGTTTACAGCATACCAGGTGGTGATGCCGACTCCTATTACACTTCTTTGCCTTGCCTTCTTTGACTTGTGACTTTATAAGCCCTTTCGACACCACACATCACTCACAATACAACTCAAAGCAACTAAAATATCCGATGGACAAGTGACCGTTCCTCGTGTGACGCAGAACGACAGTGACTGGCGTTCCAAACGTGCTATACAGAGTTAAATGACTAAAATCTAACCGAAAGGTTTCACTCATTGGACTGGTACATAGAGAGAACAAAGGACTATGGCAATGACCGTTACAATCAAATGAATGGCAAACAATGTCAAAATTTTTCTGAATAAAAGCAACACTTTTATAAATAGTATCGTTTACAGCTAACTAACTTAGAGGAACCGTGATTTTTTTTTTTCTTTTGTCGTGACAGTTCCCTAACGATAAGCATGACCCAGCTAGCTTGATTTCATGCAAAAGGTAGTTCTCAGCTGCAATAATCGCCATGTCAGAAGCTGAAGTGTTGTTTAGCAGTTGTTTCTTCTGTTTGTTTTGTTTTTTTTAAAGGCCAGACTCAGGAAGGAAGACTGAGAGCAAGACAATCCAAGAAAGCTCAAACCTTCATCCTCACTGAATCCAACGACATTTTAAGGTGCTTGATGCTCCTGAACTCAACTCTTCTTTTGTTTCTGTACCTTTAGGAAACAAATGAGCTTGTACATCCCACAATTTCATTCCACCCACATCGTGTACAGTACGCAGTGGTCTTCTGTCCTGACTAATTCATTAACCTCTAGTAAAGACTTATTGACATAGAATTACAGCCTCAAATCAAATGTTGATCTCCATTTTCTGAAAAAAAAAGAAGAAAACAAAAGAAAAAAAAAAGAAAAATCGAGAAATAAAACATGCGAGAGGAGCCCAAACCTACACTCACACCCAAACACCAAACACACTACTTCCCTTCTAATGTTTGTTGTCTTTTTTTTTTCTTTTTTTCTGAAAGCCTTTCTCTCCCTGCAACTTCACTCAAGCCATTTGGATTTTTTTAGTAAGTGAGCTGCAAAAATGGAGGTAAGATCAGAGCTGGTGTGAGATACCATACACAGTACTTGGTGCACTTGCAAAGAGCAGCCAACGCCTAAGGGCTGAGGGGAGGGACAGGCAGGGAGAGACCGGGCAGAGAGGGAGAGGGGGGGGGGGGGAATACAGTAGGAGCTCAGAAAGCCACTGTTTCACTGGAGTCTTAAATAATCAAGAGCATTCAGGAATCTCTAGACTGCACATCCAGGTCTGCCATTAGTGTCGGCCAACCTTTCGGAGCCACCAAAAGTCCTTCTTCTTCTTGCTTTCTCAGTCCGTCGCTGCAGCTGGCTCTGCTTAGCTCCGTTTGGCTCCGCCCCCCTTTCTAAAAACCTAACCTTGTCCTAACTCGGCCATGAGAAAAGTGAAACCGGATCGGCGTCTGTGAGCGACGCCGGCTCTTCTCTCGCCCGGCCCTCGGCCCGGCCCGGCTCGGCGGGGGGTGGGGGGGGAGGGTAACGCTAACTGTGGGACTGCGGCGCTGCGATGCTGGAGCAGTCCGTGACCAGCAGGTCCACCACCGTGTTGCCCGTGACGTAGACGGTGGGCGCCGTCACCATGCTGCTGAGGGAGACGGAGCTGCTGGCCGCCACGTTGGAGGTGACGGGGCTGGGCGCGCCCTGGCTGTTGCTGTGGGTGCCCATGTGACCCTGCAGCTGGGTGGGCGTCTTGCAGTGGACGCCGCACAGCTGGCAGACCAGTACGCCGCCCGACGTCGTGCCGCCGAAGCCCCCCGGGCTCTCCTTCCACTCCTGGCCGTGGTGCTTCTGGGCGTGAACGCGAAGGTACGTCAGTGTAGTGAAACCTGGGGGGGGGGGGGCAGAGGAGCCGGGGGTCACTTCAGAGAGCCCCGGTCAGAGCAGCAGCTCAGGAGTAATCACAAACGCGTCTGATCTTTCAAATAAAGAAGGCAGAAAGTTCTGAGAACAAAACGTTTGAATGCAAATTAAGCAACTTAGAATCAGAACCCCCTAACGACCATTAACACTCCCCAGGTGACAAACATTGGCCCATCCAGTAGGAGGGATCAGAGCCACCTTTTGTTTTTTCCCCTAATTCTTTTGTTCCACCTACAGTATATCAATCTCAGGGCCCGACACCATCAGTTAGAACAGAATAGGCCTCTTGGACGAGAGGCGAAACATCTTCTAGAGAACTTACCGTCCCATTGCCTCACTGAACTTTCAAAGAGCAACATAATAAGGCAACAAAACCTAAACCACCGACAGTGGTCCTGTTAGAACAGACGACTACCTCGTCTCGTTTGGCGTCCTGCAAAACACATTCCTGCTGATGTTCATCACCTAATCTGAAGCACTGAGGTGGCGGCAGCAGGACGGCCCATTTGTTTGACTTCAAACTGTTTATAGTGAGTTTAGTAAGCAGACTATAAAACACGGAGGCGCAGAGCCCCGTGCGTTTGGCCCCAGACCGGCCGCGGCCCGGACGGCTGGGGGCGGGGCACTCACTGCGGTTGCAGAGGTGGCAGGCGTGGTGCTGCGACTGGTTGTGCACCCTCATGTGATCCGTGATGTAGGCGGCCGACAGGAGCTTCCCGCAGATGTGGCAGGGCACCTTCTCCTCGTGGCGGATCATGTGCGCGCGCAGGCGGTCCTTCGTGGCAAAGCTGGACTCGCAGGTCTGCGGAGAGACGGGGAACGTTCAGCCACACGCACAGGGGCCCCACTCCTCCGCAGACCCGGGGGAATTACGTTCATTATATATTTCGCGGGTGGAGCTGGGTGCGAGGCGTCTGAGGTTTCCCGGGTAAAATGCTGATAATGTGACCAGACCAAAGAGAAATAAAGGTTGGGTGTGACCTACCGGGCATTTAAAGGGACGCTCTGAGGAGTGCACCTGCCGGACGTGACTGTTGAGGTGGTCCGGCCTTTGGGGAATATCAACAGGGACAGTTGTTAGCAAAGGGCATGACGCCTATCCTACCCGTAATTGCTTTTTTTTTTCCTTTCGGAAGGCCGCTCCTAAGCCGGGCGCCGCGCTCCGAGCCGGCCTCACCTGGAAAAGGCCTTTCCGCAGTGGGGGCAGATGTAGGGCTTCTCCACGCCGCCCTGGTGCGAGCGCACGTGGTGGCTCATGCGGTCCTTCCTCTTGAAGCGCTGCTGGCAGATGGGGCAGGAGAAAGGCTTCTCGTCCGAGTGGGACAGGCGGTGGCGGTTGAGGTGGTAGACGTCCCGGAAGGCCTTCCCGCACGTCTCGCAGGCGTGGTTCTTCCGCACGGGGTTGGGGTTGGGATTGGTGGGCCGCTGAGGCAAGAGCACACAGATAAGCAAGCTACAGTGTTCCCATCCCGGGGGCTTGGGCACAGACACATCAGCCATGTCAACATTCCTTTAACCCTTCTGGAAACCATGCAAATGCATTCGGATAACCGGCCGACTGAGAAACGGATTTGGACAACCAACGTTTCTTGTCGTGGCTGGACGGTTCATGTTAGATGGACTGCTTCCCGCGGGACTTTCAGTCTTTTTCTGTTTTGCACACGCTTTGTTACAGAGAACATGCAGGGGAGCACGGAGGGGAGGGGGGGGAGGCTTCAAGCACAGTGGTTCTTAAACTGGAGACCAGTAACCAAACACTGGGAGGATTTTTACTGGCCTCAAAACCAATGACTGCTCACAAAAACTGACCACACAACGAGAATTGAGCTCCGGTGACGCAGGCGACGCGCAGCCACTGGCGGGAAAAAAGATGGCGGCTCCGCCCCTGAGATGAGGCAGCTTAAGAAACAGCGTGCTTGAAGGTTCGGGGGTGACGGCAGCCGTCTCCACAAGGCCCTGACCCACCTGTACTGTCGCCCCTGTGGCCATGACGACAGCAGCAGGAGGCGGAGCGTGAGGGTTAACACTAGCCATTACGTTTGGCATGGCAACCCCTTCGCCATCCTGACCACCCAGAGGAGGCTGTTGGGCTCCCGCCAGCACGCCGGGAGGGGCGAGAGGGGGAGGCGCGGAGAGGTGCAGCAGGGAGAGGGGAACAGTGGGCCTCTCCGTCCTCCCTCCGGCCCCCACCGCCATCGCCGGCGGGGCTGCCGCCGCCACCACCACCACCTGGCCGGCGGCGCCCTCCTTTGCTCCCTCCGCCTGCTCTCTGGCCCTGTCCTTCATGCGTACCCCGGTGTGGACCGACTGGTGCCGCCGCAGGTTGTAGTTGTTCTTGAACTGCTTGTTGCAGATGGCACAGATGTGTTGGGCGCGGGCCGGCCGGGACACTGGCTTCACTGGACCGCGGGGAGGCGGGATGGAGGGAGGGAGGGACAGAGAGAGAGAGAGAGAGAGAGACGTTAGCGCCGGTGAGCAGGTGCAGCTCTGAAAAACACCGAGGACGAGTCCAGAGAAGCAGGCTTCCTCTCAGAATCTGTGGAGCAGCGGTGAGCGGCTCCTTTTAAAGAAAACCAAACTGTCACTCTGCTTTTGTAACGAGTAACTAGCCAAATTTTGACTGAGATTTGATCTTTTCTTTAACAAGCCCTTTCGATCTGGTGTGTGTGTTATAGAGTCGTTCACGGTGCTTGTCAGCAGAACGGGACGATTCAGAATCAATTCATGACGCTGGATCGAGGGTATGAACCCGTAATAAGAAAGATCTCAAAGCATTCAAATGATATGAAAACATTTTAGATCAAACCAAATGTAGTCTTGACTTTGAGCATTTAACTGGACGACTGCTAAAATGGCTGGCTGTTCGTATTTAAATGATCAGTATCAGCATTTTACAAACTGGAATAAGTAGGATTCTGAATTCCACTGTGAGTTATTTTCAGGTTTCAGCATGACTCGCCATCTGACTGCCTCACAGCTCTATCTGAACGGGCCCAGAAGGAACCACGAGCTACTTTAATTATTCTATTTTGCACCTTTTGTGGGGTGCAAACAAATAAAAGAACTTTTATTTTCCGATCTTTTAATGTGGTTTAGCTCAATTCCTTAATGATCTTATTTCACTTCCTGGTTCTGCTTTCCATCACCAGAAAAAAAGGGGTCAGGCAGGGGGGGGGGGTTTCCATTTCCTGCATAGTTCAAATCTTTAAGGTCACTGTTAGCATCTCCTCCCTGACTCTTCACCTGCCTTCACTGGCACCTGACAAGCGACCAACAGGGTCCTGTGTCCCCCCCCCCCGACCTCGTGCGGGGCTCCACAGAGGAGCAGAGTCCCTCACCGGGCAGGGGCTCCTCGCTGAGAGCGGTGGTGTCCACAGTGGAAGGAGGCTGTGCGATGTGCTCTGTGGGTGGGGTCTGGGGAGAGCTGGTGTGCACTTGCATGAGCTCTGATTGGAGGCTCCCCTCCACTTGGTTTTGGGTGGGAGTACTCTGGAGAAGCAAGGAGAAGGCCATCACCAAATGTAAACACAAGTCACAGCATTATCTCCTAGAGGTGCAACGCAGAAACACAAGAAGTGAGAGGCCCGCAGGGGGGGTTGGTGGTAGTGTGTGTGGGGGGGATTGTGTCCTGTTAAGAGGAGATAGCCAATGCCCCGCAATGCCTCCCCCCCAAAAGAAAAACAAGCCTACCTGGAAGAGAAAATTGCTCCAAGCAGCATCCATTTTGCGGCAGGGCGATGGAGATTATGAAGTCAGCTGCTGGGTGAGGGCCGCCTGCGCATGGTGCGGTCCGGCCGGAGGTAGCCTGTCCGGCGGCGGACACCACGGGCTCCCGGGTGGGATTCTCTCGGAAAAACGCGAACAAAGCCGTCTGCAAAAACGTGGGTTCCTCTCATGGAGGTAGCCCGGTGCTGCGGGCCGGAGCCGGAGCGGGCTGCGGAGCAGGCCGAGTCCCGCAGAGCGCGCCTTCCCCCGGGCACTCTGGGGCTTTTTAACTTTGATTATCCCAACACTAGCCTGACCAAAAAACGCGCCGTCCTACAACCCAACTACTGTAAAAAAGCCCCCCCCAAAAAAGAGGGAAAAAAAACGCATCTTAAAGTATCAGACTTTTAGCAGAACCCAGGAAAAAAAACCAATCAACGTGAAATAAATGCGTTTTTACGCAACGGAACAAACTTGAGTTACAACACACGTCGCTGGTAGCACAGCGGGGCATGCTTTGTTTTTCATTTTTGCATCTATTTTTTCCGATTCCCCCCCCCCCCCCCACCCCCAATAGGCCAATCGGGTGTTTTGTCGAAGCCTCGGCGTTGGATTCAAGCCCTGACCCCGGCGAGCGGCGCCCTCGCCGGGCCGCGGCCCATCGCTCCACCTCGGCCGTTCAGCTGCGAGGATGTCATCTTTCTTTTTTTATCGCCCGCGCTCCCTCCTCCCTCCCCGTCTCTTTCTTCCTTTTCTTTTTTAATTCCTCTTTCTTCTCCCCCTCCTCTCCTTTTTCTCGCACCGCTATGTCCCACTTGCTCTTAAAGGGATAGGGTTTCCTCTTTGGACACCCCCTTCATTTCCGTCTCTCGCGCAGGGCCCGTCCTTCTCCCCTTCCTGGATTCTCGGCCGACACTAAATGCGCCCCGGTGCCTGTTTTTTTTTTTTTTTTTTTTTTACCCCACCAGTCCTCGCTGTAGGCCCAGGCTGCGCTCAGCGGACAAAAAGAGAAGAGAAAAACCAGCCGGAACGGCTCTCCATGAACGGGGAGATGACGGAGGCGTCTTAAAGGCGGCGCGCACAGACCCTCCCAGTCAGCCCATAACAATGATGTCAGAGCCAGATCCAGCGCGAGGCGAATAGCAGCCGGGGACGCGCACACAAAAGATGAGAATGGACGTGAATAGCCATACGCCCGTTAACAACATAATAACATCACGTGAGATCTTAAAGAGGTTTACGGGCTCTCGCTGCAGCTGGCCCGAATATCACAACAATACCCAAATACTGGCTGATGTTTTTCCTGCCATCTACGGGATCAGGCTGAAGGAGGCCCTAAGCCTGCAAACCTGCATCATCACACAGTCTAAAAAAATGCAAATGCCCCAAGTACAACACATTTATACAGCATTTAGACTTCAGTTATTAGAAATAATGATAAGAAAATACATGAAAAGGCAAAAATATTTAAGAAACGCAATGAAAAAAAAAGGGAAAACTTATTTTTAGGAATTGATGTTAAATGTTACTTAGGATGCATTTAGACACTGGATGTGTTTTTGTAGTTTATGTTTCAGCGATGTCCCAATATTTACTCAGTTTTTTTTTTTATGTTTACAATGATGGAACATTTTTCGAATGTGAAAATTTGGGGGCATACGATTTCTTTGAAAAATCTGAAGCTGTAAAGGTTTGTTTAAAAATCGTCTATCATTACACTTAGAGAGTTTGTGTATAGAATTTTTACGTTTCTCAGCGTTTTGTGAAACAACAGTTTACTCACAAAGACACATAAAGACACATGCTCTCATTAAGCTCAGTCTTAACAGGCATTTGTGGAATACAAACATCTTTTTGATCTTGAAATCTGTATAAATCACATCAAATCAAGACAAGATCACGTGTTGATATCAATTTATTATCTTTTCTTTTTTTTATGACTTTTTAAAACACCCCATTTCTTTTCCAACAAAGGTTTATATCTTCTTCCCTCCCTTCCTCACGCTAGGAACTGCTTGATGTGACTGTTTAATAAGCATCTCAGCCCACTCCTAAATCTCAGCAATACACAGATGAGCCCGTGTTTCCGCGTTCATTTTGGATACAGGAACAGGAGACTTTTCTGCTCTGATGCTGACAACAACCCGTCTAAAAAGACACCCACACAGATTCCCACACACAAAGGCCGCCCCGAACCCTCCACTCTTAGTTTATACTTTTTTTGTTTGTTTTTATGCATGCACTGAGAGTCCGACCAAGCATAAAGTAGTAGGTTATACAAGGAATTGTCTTGAGCTGGTGTTTCAGAGTCATACAAACAGCAGGGTGATTGATCTCTTTTGACGTTTTTTTCAATTCAAACCAGGATTTGAAAAAAAAAGAAGTGAAAAAAAGCAACAAAAACAATACAGTCCCGTTATTGTGACGGTTCACATAAAGGAAGAATAAACCTTTGGGCCTCAGAAGCTCCACTGAACACTGACCGGTGTGGACGGGCCGCTGCGGTCACTGCTGCTGAGCGGACACCAGGGGGCGCCCGACTCCTGCAGCTCACTCACGGCCCGCCCCGCCGTTTCTTCTTCTCCCCTTTTTCCTTCTTCTTCTTCTTCTTCTTCTACACTTTCAACTGTTTGCGCATTTGGAGCTGCCTGCGTGCTGCGTCCTAGTGGCAGCTAAACCATCAACTCAAGCCTGAACCCAAACAAATAAATACAAAAGGAAAAAGGAGAATTTACATTCCAGTTGCCAAATCCTTCTTTTTCATTCTTTTTTCCCCCTGGTGAGAATCCAGAAGAGGCCAAAGTTCAAGAGAGTCTTTTAAAATTCGCTAGTTTTCATGTCTAAAAAAAGCGTCAATTTAACTAGACTTTACTGCTCGACACACATACATAAATCATTAACAATTATTAACAACCCCTCATTAATAATCATTAATATCTTAAAGACACATCGCACCTGACAAGCAACAGTTTATAAGATTTTTTTTCTTCTTCTCCTTTTTTTTCTTTCTTACAGTAAAAGTGGGCCCTTTGTTTCTCACAAGAAAAAAACGTGACCGTTATTACAACAACAATAACACCAGGATTAGTTATGGTAATATTGACATATATAGAAAATGGAGTTGGAATTGTTACTCTAAATCATGAACTCAATACTCGTTTGAATATATCAAAATTATCATTGTCTTTGTTTACTCTAGAAAAGCAGATGATTTGTTTTTGTTTTTAATATTACCATAAATATGTACAGGAAAGATCCAAAATGTGGGACACGTGATCTTGAATGCCAGTAAAACTTGGACAGATACAGTACATTTCAAATGTGTTTGGTCATGTTTACAAATTATTATTATTATTTGTACATCTATCTCATGCATTGGAGTGACTCCTGTAGACAGTTATGTTGTTTAGATATTCAATATGTCAAGAATGCCAGAAAGTTTTTTTTTAAACGGGTCTATACATGTCTACTCAAATGTCTCTCCACGTTTTTCCTCCCCTGCATTTTTTTCCCACGAGTCTATTGACTTTACAAACATTCTGTGTATTTGATTCAGTTTTAAATCCTCCTGCACTCATCAAATAAAAAGATTTGATGTCCTGACATCCCTTTAAGAACCGATTGAAGGCATTGGTGACGTTCCAAGCAACCTGTTTTTTCTTACGCATAAAAAAACAAAACCAAACAGTACTTAGAAATCAATAAAAAGTTTTTTCCAAACTCCAGCAGGTCGGAGCCTAAAGTAAACAGCATTTCTGTGGATTCTCCCCCATTTCTGTCTCTGAAGTATTTTGTACGAGTGCTTGCTAGATAATATCTGGACACTACAGACTAAATACAATTTACATCAACTACGCAACATCATCCGCCCTTTTATTTCCTCCCATGTCCTTCTCTCTTTCTCCATTCCAGCAAAGAACATCATAGAAGAGGACACGGCTGCCTCCCCTCTCTCCCTGCAGCTGTCAGAGGAAATAAGGGCTGAATGCTCCTCTGTGCACGCATCCCTGCTCCCTCACTTTTATACAGTAACGAAGATAAAACACTGAACAGAAACACCATCGCTTAGAAATCTAATATCACCAAAATTCAGGTGGTTACATTCCTCCCGCCCTCTTTTATACCTGTGAGAATGGGAAGAACCCTCTAAACCCACCCTGAGTCTAAAGAGGCAGGATGCAGCTCAGTAGTGTCAGTTTGCCCTTTCTTTGCTGCGGATGTCTGGGCATAAAGAGAAGAGGGTGATATCCCTAAATCCTTTAGATCCCAGCCACTCCCAGAGTTACACTTACGTGTGGGAAAGAAGGAAAGGCGGCAAGCTGAGAGTATTGAGATGCGACCTGTGTTAGCTACCTTCCTAAAAACCCACTTCCTCTCGCTGTGAGCGCCCTGCCTGGTGTTCCTCCCGCTCTCTAAGAGTAGGAGAGGTGGGAGCCGTTAGAGATGTGCGAGGTGACAGATGTACTTCGGCTCAGGACGCCGTCACTGCCCCCGGAGCCTCCCGGCCCCCCGCCGGACGCCGTCCTCCTGAGGGGCTGGGGGCTGTTCCTCAGGGCCATCAGGTTGGGAGTTCCACGCACGGCCAGCCCGCCGCCGCCGCCGCCGTATATCCCCCCCTGAGAGGACGAGGAGGAGGAGGAGGAGGAGGACGGGCCGGAGATGGAGGGGGGGGCAGGCGGCGGGGGCGGTAGCATGGCCAGGGACTGGGAGGAGGAGCGCGAGGGGAGGTGATGGGAGAAGGGATGGGGGTGTGGGTGGGCCAGGTCTCCGCCGGAGCCTCGCACCCCGGCCCACTCCCGCTCCCGCTCCTTCTCCCGCTCCCGGTCCCGGTCCCGGTCCCGGTCCCGGTCCCGCTCGCGCTCGCGGTAGAGCTGCGGCGTGCTCTGGTGGTGGTAGTGCTGGGGCAGGTGGTGCCGCTGGTGGTGGGAGGAAGACGAGGAGGAGGAGGACGAGGAGGAGGAGGCCGAGGAGCGGGACGAGTGGTGCACCTCCCGCCCGTCCCGCCCGTCCCGCCCGTGGCCCAGCGCCATGCCCAGGGCGTGCGCGGAGGAGGAGGAGGAGGAGGAGGAGGCCTCGCCCCTGCGCTCGCCGCCGCTGTTGTGGGCGCGGCGGGACAGCTGCTGCTGCTGGGGCGCGCTCTGCTGGTGCACGCCGTGGCTCCAGTGGCCGGCCGAGCGGGACCCGGGGGGCGGCGCGTTGGGGTAGCCCTGCTTGGCGTAGGCCTCGCTGGGGATGCCGGTCAGCGCCATGTTGCTGAAGCCCAGGCGGAGACTCTCCGAGTCGAAGGTCTCAATCTCGCTGGCCTGGCGCTCCAGGAGGGTCCGGATCCGCTCCGAGCGCTCGTTCTGCAGGGACAGCATCTCCTCCTCGATCTAGGAAAAGAGCGTTAAAGAGGTTACGTCAAGCAGAATTATCAGTTTCAGTCATGGATCTGCTATCGTTTTGGATAAAGGAACTAAAAAAGGAAGTGATTCCCGTTGCAAAATACCCCATTTTTCTTTTTATATCACTGTGAAACAATATAGCAAAATATCTGCAAAGTGGATAGTCTTACACATCTTAAAAAATACAATGACTAGCCACCGTCTAGAAGGTGGCGGCAGGAGAAAGCGCATTCCTGAGCTAGATTCGCTTTGCTTTAGTAGAAGTGGTTGCAAAAAAAGCCAAACCCTCTGCTCCAGCAGCGCCCGGCGGAAGGACACCCTCTGCTCCAGGTCCTTGACCTCCTTCTCGTGCTGCGAGTCGGTGTGGATCTTGATCTTGCTCTGGTAGGCGTTGAGCAGCTCCAGCTCCTGCTGCAGCTGCATGCGCAGCACCTTGTACTCGGCCTCCTGCGTCTCGTCCAGCCGCAGCTGAGAGGGGGGAGAGGAACAGAGGCGGGCCGTGACCAAAGCTGGACGGGTAATCACATCTACAGCACTGTGGAGGACAAGGCTGGACAAGGAAAAGTGTCAGAGGTCTGACAATGACCAGAGAGGGGAGACGCATCAGGACTGTGAGCAGCGGACTGGCAAAAGTCGGCCTTTTATTCAGTGTGTGCATGTTCTGTGTTAAAACTAAAATACGAATGTAATTCTGAACTTGAAAACGAAAACAAAACGTAACACACCGACAGCAGAATATGTGAACTGCTTTGACTTGTATGTTTGTGTTTGTCGTCTGCCGCATGAATCCGGGGGACAAGATTAAGTCTTGTGTCATAAAACAGGCTTTTCATTCAAAGATATGAAAAAAACAAAAAACAAAAACATTTCTGACTTTGGATTAACCAGAGTGCAGTAAACCTTTCCTGACTTTACCCGCTGCGTGATGGGCGCACAAACAAGGGCAGCGGGGATTTGGCTTACCGGGCTTACGTGGCGTGCTGCCATGTGAGGTAATTAAAGTCGCACAGAGGGTTATGTCACTAAAGAAACGTCCCCTTGTCCCCCGTACTCTTGCCACTATGCTTTGTTCACCTAAAAGTCGGTGATCTGCCTGCGTGTGAGACCTAAAAGGCCAGGGGATGACCAAGGCCAGCCTTTCAAGGGATCATTAAAAGCTATATTTGTCTGCTGCTCTGTTCCCTTTCAGACCTCGATTTTCGACTAAATGTGTGGTCACTTGAGCCATCAGACTGCCTATAAATGTCAAGTTCGGTGTCAGAAGGGATTGGATCCTAACAGTTTTCCATACTGGACTCAAGTCACCGTGTCCAAGCTTTATTTTGCCTGTTAAATTACACATAAAGACACCCTGTGATGTCGTGTACGATCAACAGGAAGCACCTAAAACTGGAGTTTGGTCAAAGTTTCTGTCTGAAACACAGAGGTCACATGACGGCTAAATCCTGATCTTGAAAAGAATGATGTTATTTCAAAGGAAATTGGGGAACTGATTTGCTTTACTTGAGCCAAGTAAACTTTAAAGATCTGCAATGCTAAATATGAGCCTTTAAAGATGATGTCTCATTGCACCATTATCTTTCTGAATGTCAGTGGTCTAATTATGCTCATTTAAACATGCCGCCTCCACATTCATTTACAATCAAACAAATGTTCTACTTTAGTTCTGGTCACAAAAAAAAAGAAACTCAAGGGAATAGTTTGATTTTGTTTTGGAGGAGCGGTTTCACAGACCAGGACGGGTCATTAGAGACAGAACTGGGGAGAGTGACTTTAGGGGGAGATTAACACTGCGGGACTGGGAGGGTGCCGGCAGGCGGGCGGGGAGTTAAAAAGGCAGGCAGGAAGCAGGCAGGCAGGCGGGGGGTGGGGCGGGCCTCCGAGCCGGGCACGGTGGCGGTGGTGTGGTGGTGTGGTGCGAGTGTGAAGTGGACGACGTCTCCTTGCCTTACTCACAGCCTGTGTGGACAGCATGTCATTGATGGAGTGGTCGTACTGCTCGGCCAGGATGGCCAGCTTACGGGTCTGCTCATCCTTCAGCCGCTTCAGCACGGCCTTGTGGTCCGACTTGGGCGTGTTCTCCAGCAGGTGGTTGCGCAGAGCCTTGTACTGACGCGTCTGGATCTTACAGGTGTCCTGGAACTGACGCTTAATCTGAAGTTCTTTGGACTGGAGGAGAGAGAAGAGAGATGGAGGCAGCTGGGCTAAAGTGCTCCTGAGCTTTAAGGAATAAATGATGGTGAAAAGTAAGAAAAAGGGGGACTTTTGTTTTCACTTGGGGGGGGCGGTAACGTCGACCTAAGGGACCGACACCTGTCACGTGTGTAATGGTAACCAGAGTTTAGGTTGTGCCGGCCTTAGCTTCCACAGGGAATTAAAACAACCTGAACTTTAAAGCTTCGAAGACCCGACTATTCTTGTAGCTCGCCATGTGGTTTCCTCTTTCCTTTTTTTTCTGGAGAATTTCTCCACTTTCTCTGAACGCACTGCCTCCGAAACAGGTGGAATAACAGCTCAGTTGACAATGCAAGGGGCGCCCTGCTGTGACCGGGAGTTTGGTCTACTAACTACCGAACAGGATGTGCAGAATGCACAGGAAGGCCTTTTCAAGTCTAAAGTATCACCATCAGTTTTATCCCAGGTCAGATTTGTCTGTCATAGTCAGGTCTGTTTTTACAGTTGTTTGCTTCTCTGCCAAGAGTAAAACAGTAAATGAAACCATTAAAACAGAGGGAGTTTTCAGGCAGAAATGGGGGTGCGTGGGTTTTAGAGCAGGGCTGCTCACTCCAGGTGTCCTCCTGGTCAGTGAATGTCTCACCAGGTTTGCTACATCAGCTCTAAACAGTACTGGAATTAACTGCACCTCTCGGTGACACATTCACAGAGATAGTTTGAAACGTTTACATACCATAAACAGACATAAAAGTAGGTCTTCTCAAAGCTAACCCAGGAGGGGAAAAAAAGGTATATTGACTTATTTTATCTACTGAACAAGCCTGTCCTCTGGCCTTTACAATCCGGATGTAGTGGCTAAATGTCCTTTCTTGGTTCTCTTCTCTTTGACGAATGCAAATAACCACTCTTTCAGACGGGAAGAACGAGTCTACGCGTATTAAGGTTTTAACGACGTTAGAAAACGGTGTATTCACCCCGTCTTTACTGAACATTCTAAAACAGACAAAAAACGTCAGTTTACATTCAACAAAGCGCGAGCTCCGAACGTTATCGCTCAGCGTCAGTTTCTATTGGCTGTTTAGTGAAGATCATTTTAAACATTAAAATAAATTCAGATTAAACTAAAATCAATTATAAATTAGCAAAACAATAACTTAGTAAACTGCTATCATAAATATTCTATGAAAACATAGAACCAAAATCATCCAAAATAATAACTAAACATGAGCATAAATTACTCCATAGAAAATGGCACCAACACCAGATATTCAATAAAATCCACTCGGAAGGCTTACAGTGACGTTACCGCACAGCACAGTGGAAAACGGTTTCATTGCCTTATATTTAGCCTCCAAGCAGTCAGACAGACGGAATCTTTTAAAGTGGTCTTCAGCAGCATTTCTCCAGGCGTACTGATGGTCCAAAATGGTATTTTCAACCTTGGTTTTTCAGTCTGTTCTGTGCACCTCTCTAAAATATTCTCAGAGCAATCAAGTTTTTTTCTTGTTTGTTAAACCACTAAATTACTTTTTTTTTTCATGCATAAAATTGCACTTCTTGATAAAATAAACTATTTTGAACAGTATTTTATAGCTCTTTCTAGGTTAGAGTTAAAGAGACAAAGATAACACGGTTTTCTGTATCACTGATGTGATTCCCTAAAAGCCAGTGTTTGAAAACATAGCATTTCACAGCATGATGTGCAGTGAAACTCATTTAAAAGGGTTTACTGCATGCGACTGTTCCACCACATAACGGTGGTCAGAACAAAAAAATGACTTTCAAACATTTGTGAATATCACCATGGGTGGCTCCAGGAGGTTTGCACCTCGATTCACGGAGAAAAAGCCGAGGTAAAAAAAAAAAAAGGACATTATTTTTGCAGGATGATAGACAAAAGGAGGGGCGGGACGGATGAAAAAGATATGTGTGATGAAACAAAAAGAATCAGGATAAATAAAATGGTCGGTGACGTGCTGCAATACTTATCGAAAGAGAAGGGAAAACATACAAAGAAGGAAGACATGTCAATAATGGAAAATCATAAAAACAGACAAAGACAATGATTTAAACACAAAAGAATTTATTTTTTTGTGTGAAGAAAAAAAATCTGTCTGACAAACTGTGCTTTTTATGCATGTGAGCACATTGCTGCTCGGTACAGCAACACCCACGCAGCTAAATGAGCAGAAAATGACGACAAGGCGTCAAAATGCAGTCTTATGAATACTGCATCAATCTTTTTTTTTTTCTTCTTAAAAACTTAGGATGATAAAGCACTCAGACAGTGTAGCAAACAAAACAAAATGCAACATGTAAACATACAGAGGAGCAGGTAATAAAATGGAAAAAAAATGGCAAATAACTTACATTCAAACAAAACGCTTGTGAGAAAATCGGCTGCCAAAATGCAGGTCAACTGAAAACAACAAAGAAAAACAGTGCCCTACTTTTCCTCTTTCCCCAGGGTCAAAGACTGAGCTTTTTCTACTCACTATTTCACCACATAAATGGTTCAAGAATGTTCCAGACATGCAGCTTTTTGTTCATTTGGGATTTCATAGCACTGACGCCTTTCAGGCCGATTTCTCCCAAAATGCGTCTCACTCATAAGAGCCATTTGGAGTCCTCGAGCAGTGAAACCATCTTATTTAAGCAAGGCTAAGCTGAGGCCTCCTTCAGCTTTGAAGACACATATTTCAGTCCTTATTTTCGGAAATAATTTAACAACATTCTTTGGTTTCAGCCACTCAAAATTCAAGTTTAATCTTTTATTTTTCGTGAATATCTTTGGTATTCTGTAAGCAAAGCTTGAAACATGAGCTGAGCTGTGATGTTTAATAGATGAGCAATGAAAATAACCTGAAGTGACGTGTTTTTTGTTGTCTGGCATCTATCTTTTTCCTTTTTTAATTTTAAAAGACAGATCTCTTCTTCTTTGGATGGGGAGCTGCTCAGTCTGAACCTTCATTTTCAGTAGTTAAAAATCAATCTTTTTTTTGTGACTCAGTCTCAAAAGATTGTCTATATGGCTTCATACAAAATAAAATATATGTACTAACAAATTAAATAACTTTTTTTTATCAACTATACGTTTTCTACTACAAGGCACATCCTTTTTGCCCCCACTTTTCATCTCGAATATGGTGCTTTACAACATTTGTGCAAACAGTTGAAAGCAGGCACTATTCTTTGATAACAAAGGGTGGAATTTACATGGTAAATCAAAAGATTATTGCATAAAGTGCAATAAAAGAGCATATCTCGATAGAATATAAATATAAAAGATGGTGGTTATCGGCTTTATGTATAAAAGCAGTCTCAATGTGTATATTTAATCGTGCTTTAACATAAAACACTGAACCCAGCACCTATACTAGCAAACTCATTCTAGTTTAACTTTGACTCATATGGTCATGCTGATTTTAGTCCGATAAAGGCCTTCTACCTACCTACCTACCTTTTGGATATTTTCCACTTGGCTTGGAACAGCATCTCACAGCGGTCTGAGATCTTTCTGTCCAGCGGTTTATTGCACTTTTTTCCTAACTGACAGCTAGTGTTCTGGGTGGTTAGCGAGTATCCTTTTCACTTTCACAGTATCCAGCAAAGGGGAGTGGAATTTTATTCTATCCATGGAGCTGTGTAACACTGAAATATTTGTTCCAGGCACTGGGAAAACCGTGCGCTCTATGAAATAAGACCACCATAGAGAAAAACAAGATTGCACACAAAAACGGTCGAAAAAAATAACCATAAAAATAATCGTCTTAGAAATTAAGAGCAAAATAATAAAATAATGAAACTTAAGGAACTTTTACAAAAAGCACAATAAAAGGTAAAAACTTCACTGGGTTTGGTGCAGCAACTCTGGCTTTAACTGCTTGTTCAAGTGTGAATGGCCCTCTGATTCCACAGCTTGGCTTCTGAGCCGCCTGTGCCTGTTCGGATGAGCGGCAGCAGCTAAAATCACTCCAGCGCGTGTTCAACTTAAACTGGGACCATTTTTAAAGAAATGTGACCACAAACCAGTTTGGGAATCATCCAATGAGAAAGACAAGGTGGACCCTAACCACAAAGACAGATACTGGTTGAACAGGGCAACGCAGAACGTCCCCGCCACATTTCCACTGGCTTCTCTAAAACCCTCACTATCTCCACGGCCGCACCTTCCCTCTGACAAACCTCCCAGACGACGTTCGCCTCAGCCCGCACTCCCACCTGGCCTCCTCGCGAAACATCCGCTCCCTCTCCTTCCTCTGCCTCTGCCTCTCCCTCTCCCTCCTGCTCCTCTCTCTCTGCCTCCTCTCTCGGACCTCTCGGGGGAGCAGCCGGGGCAGCCTGCTGGGAATGTCCCTCTTTAAGAGGCCCAGGGTTTGGAGCCTGAGCATAATATTGAGTGGCAGCTTTCTGTGAAGCCTCCCGGCTAGTTTTATCACTATGGCGTTGGCCAGGTCCGCCAGAACCCCCAGAGGACGCCCGCTGAAGCGCCTGACCCACAGCAGCGCGCGGGCCGGCACCGAGCTGGCCGGGCCGCGGGGCCGGCGCTCCAACGGCAGGCTCTTCAGGGAGACCGGAATCTTAGACTGCCGCACGCCCCAGTTGCGCCCGGCTTTGGGGAACATCTCATAGAGGTTTCGCTCGGCCATTCCGCCCATGACGGACTGGCACATGGCAAACAGGGGGCGAGGCAGGCGGAAAAGCACGCGCATGCACAGGCGGTTGACTCTGCGAGGCGCGTGCTGCAGGAAGTCCCGGGCGGGCCGGACAACCAGCACGATGAGCAGGTAGAGGGAGAGGAAGAGGGAGGGAGAGCTGAGGAAGGAGGCCGAGATCAAAATCATGGGGATGTAGTAAATCCCCAAACTGAGGGAGAGCCCTAAGCTGAAGAGGCCGGCAGCCCACAGGCTGAGGGACAGGAAGGTGGTGAGGGACAGGGAGCAGCAGGAGCGCAGGAGGAGGTACGAGAAGAAGAGCGCCAAGAAAGCCAGCTCGGCCGAGAGGACCAGGGAGGCCACCGAGGGCAGGGGGGGGG